AGACAGACTCTGAAGGAAGAAAATAAAGGTCCTTGCCTGGCCGTTGTGGCTCAGTGGTTGAGCGTCTAACTATGAACCAGGTAGTCACGGTTCGATTCCCAGTCAGGGCATATGTTAGGGTCACTGAAGGAGGGACACAGGAGGCCAAAAGGGGTAAAGAATTATGCATTTATCAGGTCACCTGGAAAACCAGATGGGCTGAGCCCCAAAATGGCACCAGCCCCCAAAGAAGGGGAGTCAGAGGTTTTTAAAGGACTCTAGGCAGGCTTTTTTTCTTTTAAAAAAAATATATTTTATTGATTTTTTACAGAGAGGAAGGGAGAGGGATAGAGAGTTAGAAACATCAATCAGCTGCCTCCTGCACTCTCCCTCCTGGGGATGTGCCCGGAACCAAGGTACATGCCCTTGACTGGAATCGAACCTGGGACCCTTGAGTCCCCAGGCTGACGCTCTTTCCACTGAGCCAAACCGGTTAGGGCAAGGGTCCTCAAACTATGGCCCGCGGGCCACATGCGGCCCGCCGAAAACATTTATTTTTTTACTTCAAAATAAGATATATGCAGTGTGCATAGGAATTTGTTCATAGCTTTTTTTTTTAACTATAGTCCGGCCCTCCAACGGGCTGAGGGACAGTGAACTGACCCCCTGTTTAAAAAGTTTGAGGACCCCTTGGTTAGGGCTCTAGGCGGACTTTTGCTGGGCGGAGAATTCTCTGTGCAGGTCTGGATCCTGGGAAGGTACAGAGGGGAGAGATAATGGCCTTAGCAATTGGAATGTGGTCTAAGTGAAGGGGAATGTCCTTTGTGAAGTGGTCTAAGGGTCAGTTCCCAGGGGAGGGGTATTGATTCAATTATTTGATCAGACCTAACACCGGGTGGCAGGCTCAATCCTCCGTAGGGGGCGTGCAGGAGGCAGCCGATCAAGGATTCTCTCTCATCATGGATGTTTCTATTTCTCTCTCCCTCTCCCTTTCTTTCTAAAATCAATAAAAATATATTTAAAAAAAAAATAAAAAGAAGCCCTAGCCAGTTTTGCTCAGTGGATAGAGCATCGGCCTGCTGACTGAAGGGTCCTGGGTTCAATTCCAGTGAAGGGCACATGCCCGGGTTGCGGGCTCGATCCCAGTAGGGGGTGTGCAGGAGGCAGCCGATCAATGATTTTCTCTTATCATTGATGTTTCTCTCTCTCCCTCTCCCTTCCTCTCTGAAATCAATAAAAAATATATTTTAAAAAAGTAAAAAGTAGGTCTACCTGGTTTGGCTCAGTGGATAGAGTGTGGGCCTGAAGGGTCCTGGGTTCGATTCCAGTGAAGGGCACATGCCCGGGTTGCGGGCTCCATCCCAGTAGGGGGTGTTCAGGAGGCAGCCGATCAATGATTTTCTCTTATCATTGATGTTTCTGTCTCTCTCTCTCTCTCCCCCTCTCCCTTCCGCTCTGAAATCAATAAAAAAAATATATTTTAAAAAAAGTAAAAAGTAAATAAAAAGAAAAGGAAGGAGCCTGAGGAGCAGCTGGGCAGGGGTCATCAGACAGGTAAGACGTGAGGCGGGGGCTTGGATCCAGCTCTAATTCTTGTGCAGCAGCCGGTGGGTGAGAAGATTTGTCTGGAGGCCGCTCAGCTGTGAAGAGGGGACCTTTGGCTGGTTCTGAGTGTCCGGCTTCAGGCGTCAGAGGAGAGGAGATTAGGGTGGGGTAGTCGCCAGAGACATCAGGGAGGACAGTGGTTAATTGAAGCCCCAGACGAAGCAAGAAAATTCCCATAAAGGAACCTCAGAATGCCACCCACCTTTCTGGTTTCAGCGAGAAAACACGTTTGCGTTTTTGAAACTGAGAGTGTATTTATTCCCCAGCACTAGCCCCTGGCCCTTGGCCTTTGGCTTGGCAACAAAAGAGGGTTGTTCGGTCCCTGGGCAGGGATGTTTGCTCACAGAGCATGAGTGCGCCGAGCAGCGGCTTTGGGAAGGAGGGTGTGCGTTTGCAGGCCGCGAGTGTCAAGGCCGTGAGTGTGGGGCCGCTGTGCTATTCTGCTCAAGCTCATGTGATGTTTGCGCTCCCAAATGCTGGAGAGCAGAGGGGGAGGGGCGGCCCGGCAGCCTTTTCTCTCCTCTTTACATTGATGGAGTTGGACAGTGTTGACCAATAATTGTAAACCAGCCTCTTAGAGATCGTTTTTTTTTAAATATATATTTTATTGATTTTTTTTTACAGAGAGGAAGGGAGAGGGATAGAGAGATAGAAACATCAATGAGAGAGAAACATTGATCAGCTGCCTCCTGTACACCTCCTACTGAGGATGTGCCCGCAACCAAGGTACATGCCCTTGACCGGAATTGAACCTGGGACCTTTCAGTCTGCAGGCCGACGCTCTATCCACTGAGCCAAACCGGTTAGGGCAAGATAGGTTTTTTTTTAAAAAAAAAAAAAGAATATTTTTTTATTGATTTCAGAGAGGAAGAGAAAGATAGAAACATCAATGATGAGAGAGAACCATGGATCAGCTGCCTCCTGCAGGTCCCCTACTGGGGATGGAGCCCACAACCCAGGCATGTGCCCTTGACCGGAATCGAACCCGGGACCCTTCAGTCCGCAGGCCGACGCTCTATCCACTGAGCCAAACCGGCCAGGGCTGGAATGGTTCTTTCTACCACGCTGCACTCTGAGGACACTGGTGAAAGGCTTCCATCTCCAGAAGTGAAATTGCAAGTAGAGTTATTTTTGTTGTCCAGCCCCGAGACTCTTTTCCGGTTGGCTGTTGGCTGTATTCCATAAAATGCTTGATTTCATGAACTCTGAGCAGGTGCTAGCAAACACTACACATTTGCGTATAGCTGGCTGCAGCCAGCACATCTATATTTTCTGTGTTAATTGCCAGAGTGGCCGTGTAAGCATATTCTAGAAGGGGGATAAAACCAGTCACTGTAACAAGATGCAAATCAAACACATTTTTTTTTTAAATAATTTTATTTTATTTTTTTATTGATTTCAGAGAGGAAGGGAGAGGAAGAGAGAGAGATAGAAACATCAATGATAAGAGAGAATCATTGATCGGCTGCCTCCTGCACGCCCCCTACTGGGGACCAAGCCCGCAACCCAGGCGTGTACCCCAGACCGGAATCGAACCTGGGACCTCTCAGTCCGCAGGCCGACGCTCTATCCACTGAGCCAAACCAGCCAGGGCCAAACACATTCTTAAAAAAAACCCAAAACATATATATATATTGATTTCAGAGAGGAAGGGAGAGGGAGAGAGTTAGAAACAGTGATGAGAATCATTGATCAGCTGCCTCTTGCACGCCCCCTACTGGGGATCGAGCCCACAACCCGGGCATGTGCCCTTGACCGAAATCGAACCCTCGAACCCGGGACCTTTCAGTCCGCAGGTCCGATGCTCTATCCATTGAGCCAAACCAGCTAGGTCTCCAACACATTCTTTTTTTTTATATATATATATATATAACATCGATCAGCTGCCTCCTGCACATCCCCCAATGGGGAAGTGCCCGCAACCCAGGTACATGCCCTTGACCGGAATGGAACCAGGGACCTTTCAGTCCGCAGGCCCCATGCTCTATCCATTGAGCCAAACCAGCTAGGTCTCCAACACATTCTTGTCCTCATCCTCGGCTTGGCCTACAAGTCTGGTGCGGAGTAAAAAATCACGGCAAACTGCTAGTACCTGGCAAATTTTGTCCTGGACACGAATGGTGCGATCACAGGCAATGGCCATCATTTCGCAGCAGCTTAGCTTTCGAAGCATTTTCTCACTGTGGGAAGAAGAGCTACTGAGTAGATGTTTCCTCACCCATCTTTTCATTCCTCTTCTACAGATGCTCTTCAGGGATGCAAATGCATCGGAAACGGCCTGCGGGCGGCACTGCGGGGACGGGAGGCCTGGTGCGTGGCGCCTCGCAGCAGCCAGGTGCCCGCGAGCCGAGCCGGGAGCGTGCGGGGTGGCGGGGTGGGGGTGGGGGGGCGGGGGGGATGGGGGGGCGGGCGCCCGTGGCGCTCGGGGCAGCCTTAGGAGAGGGGCGAGGGGACGGCCGTTGGGGCCGGTTCGCCGTAGGCAGGCGGCCGTGGAGGCAGCGCAGCGACCGCTCGTGTTTTCCTGGCGTGGAGGGGTGGGGTGTGGGGAGAGGGGAGGGGGGCGCAAGGGGAGGGGAAGGGCGGTTGGGAGAGGGCCGCCGCCTATCAACTCCATGTCAAAGGATGCTGCTAGGATGTGCTGTTTCCTTTGAATACACATCATGTGAGTTTGTTGTTTTTTTTTTTCTTTTTCGGATATATTTTTATTGACTTCAGAGAGGAAGGGAGAGGGAGACAGAGATGGAAACCTCAACGATGAGGGAGAATCATGGATGGGCTGCCTCCTGCACGCCCCCTACTGGGGACCCAGCCGACAACCGGGGCACCTGCCCCTGACCGGAACCCAACCGGGACCTTGCTCTATCCACTGAGCCACACCAGCCAGGGCCACCTGCGTAGGATGGATTCCTCCACGTGGAATTGCTAAGCCTCTTGGGCTCCGCGCCTGTCACTTTGACAGGGATTACCCGGTCGGGTCGCTCCCTGGGGAAGCTGAACCAATTGGCACGCCCTCCGACAATGCCTGCTGGGGCCTGTTCGCCACAGCCTCCTGCTGACAGGGGCTCCTCACCTCCTCCTTGCCATTGCCAATCTGATAAGTGAAGCTGGTATTCAGTGTGCTTGCAACTTTCCTTAGTATGATGCATAGGGTTTAGCTATTTAAGTCTAAAGTAAAAAAAAAAAATACAGCTAAAACCCAAACAACTCCATCTGCGCTCTGCCCTGTCCAGTCTATTTAGACGGGCGCCAGGTCACACCAACCCCAATCCAGAGGCCGGGCGGGCGTGGCCAGGCAGGAGGTGGGAGGCGAGGACCCCTGGGTTCCCGCCCCCCCCCATCCCGCCCTCACTCCCTGCTGCGGAGCCCCGCCCCGAGTCCGCCCCTGGCCGGCCGGGGCGGAGCTCGCGGGCCAGTGGGAGGTGCAGCGCTGCCTGATTTATTCCGGTCCTGGAGCAGGAGTGAGAGCCCGCGCTCTGTCTGCACGTCCCGATCTTCAGTCCCGCGCCGGGTCCCCCACTTGTGCGCACCATGCCCGGCCCCCGCCTGCTGGCCGCGCTCTGCGGCGCGCTGCTCTGCGCCTCCGGCCTCTTCGCCGGCTCCGGTGAGTGATCGCGCCGCCCTCGCCCCTCCTCTCCGCTCGGAAGTTCGGCGCGGCGCCCTCCCTCCACCTCCACTGTTGACAAACTTGGGCAGGGAGCCTTCGCGGGGCCGAGGGGCGTCCTCCCCCCGGCTGCGCCCCCGCTGGCGGCCGCGCTGCGCTCGGCCTCTCCCGCGGTCTCCGCACCGGGGAGTTTTGATCGGCGAGAGAGGCTGGGGCGCCGGGCGGTGGCTCGGGACACGGGGTGACAGCCCAGCCATCCCCGGGGAGGTGGCTGCAACATAACAAAGGAATCCGCTGTGGAGGGCCTCTCTTTCCCCATCTGTATCGTGAGGCCATTGCACCGTGACCGCCCTGCGCGCGCGCCTTGCCGCTGCAAGTTTCTCGGACTCCGGTCCTGATCAGTCTCCGGCCAACTAACTACCCTCCCGGGCAGCGAACTCCCTCCCAAGCCCTGGCCGCTGGTCCGATCCTTGGAGATTTCCGCCCGCGCGCGCGCGTGGCGTGGCGCGGCGCTCACCAGCGATAAGAGGAGGGAGGGCGGGGAAGTGGGTGGGATGCCAGGGCTCTAGGTGGGGCCCGGGAGAGGATTCCCAGGCTGGGGAAGGCCTCGGAAAAGGGCTGCGGCCGGCCAGGCTGGCTTCCTGTCCGGACTCCTTCCGTGGCCTTGGTGTGCTGTTGTATCTTCCCTGGTCCTCCTCCCCCGCCCAGGAGGCCTCCCTCCACCAGCCGGGCCTCCCGCAGGCGGGTCCTGGGATGCCCTATCCCCTTGGCGGCGGGGCCCCGCAGTCCTCCTCCTCCAGGACCCGGGAAAGGAGGTGGGTGGGCGACCCCTTCAGGCGCCCCCTCCATCACTTCCAGGACTGACTGATGCCAGAGGGTGGGCGGGTCACAGCGGAGGCCTGGCTTTGCCATCCGTGACAGTCTGACCCCTGACCCCGCGCCTGCAGCAAGAAGCCTTTGAGGGCATGCCAGGCTCCCACACACTGGGGAGAGCTGGTGGCTCCCCTCAGTAACCCTTAGAGACCTGGGTCTTGTCCCTTCCCGTTCCTCTCAGTCCCCGCAGCCTGGAGAAATGTACCAAAAGGGCAGGACCCTGAAATCCCAAAGGTGGTTAAGTTAGTCGAGGTGGGGGGTGGGGTGGAGGGGGTGACCTGGCTTTACCTGGGACCGGGAAGTCCCCAGGCTGCTGTGCCCCAGGTGAGTCAGTCTAGGGCCCCCAGGGGAAGGAGGCACCTTGTCCCCATCTTTTCCCTTTTCCCCCCTGGACCACGTGGCCCGGCAGCCACCTGGGAGGGCGAGGAAGCGTAGTTGGACTTTGCTGGGACCGGAGCCCAGGACTCTGGCCATTACCAAGGCCCTGTCTGTGCCCGAGCCGCCAGCCGCCGCCCGCCAGGTCAGGGGAGGGGATTAACCTGCTATTTAAAGCCAGTGACTAATAGCGCGTGGGGAGCCGCCTAAGCTCCAGAGGAGGCCCGTGCAAAGGTGGAGTTCTGAGGGCTCCGTAGCTCATTAACGGTATTCCCTTCCCTGCAGCCCGGGCCCGGCTCGCGGGGATTTTGGGGTTCCAGGAGGAGGGCCCTCCAGCCTGGCATGGCCAGACTTGCGGGGAGGAACAAATGTTTCTCGTGTCTTACCCCGAACAGGTGTGGGGCCCGGGGGAGCCCCCTGGGAACGCTAAGGTCAGAAGCCCCTCCTCCAGGCCTGGCTCACCCCGTTCACCAGGGTAATCGTGCACATCGGCCACCCAGGCAGGCCCCCAGTGGAGGCTGTGATGTCCTCGCCAGCCCTCCTCCCACGTCTGAAGTCCTCGTCCAGTGTGTCTCACATCTGCCTGCCCTCCTCACCCCCTCTGCCTTCCTTTCTCACCTGGAGGCCTGGGGCAGCGACCCCGATGCTCTCCTGGTCCCCTAGATCCCTGATCCTGTCACCTGTCCACTCAGCAGCCAGAGGGATCTTTGTGTCACTCCCAAGTGCCTCCCCAGCCCAGGCGAGGCCAGCCCATCTCGGCAGATAACAGTTCCCTTCTCGGAATTGGAACCAGGGTCCCCATCCCCCCGACCCCAGTGAGGACCTCTGATTTGCTTTTTCCTGGTGGGTCATGGTAGGGAGGCTGAAGGAAGGTGGTGAGCCCTAGGTGTGCAGGTAGAAAAGTCTAAAGTTGTCATTCTTACTGTCCCTTCCAGTCTGGTCCCAGTCCACTTGGTTAGCTGTCTTACTGGTCTCCCAGTGTACCCGGCTCTCTGTGCTTCTACCTTTTTGTTTTTTGTTTTAATAAATAGATTTTTATTGATTTCAGAGAGGAAGGGAGAAGGAGAGAGAGAGAAACATCAATGATGAGAGAGAATCATGGATCGGCTGCCTCCTGTATTGCCCCCTTTGGGGATTGAGCCTGCCACCCGGGCATGTGCCCTGACTGGGAATCGAACCACGACCTCCTGGTTCATAGCTCAGTGCTCAACCACTGAGCCATGCCAGCCGGGCCTGCCTTTCTTTAGCATGTTCTCTCCTCATTCCCCTGCTTGGTGCACCCCTCACCCCGTCTTTTAGAATCGCAGTCTCCCTGGCAGAAACCACTGGAAAGTGGCCCCTTGTGTAGGCTCACGGGGCCTGTCACCCCCATTCACTGGTCCCCGTGACGCCTTGAGGCCCGGGCTACGCCTGATTTCTCTGTCTCGGGGGTCCAGCACTTACGTACATGGTAGTGGGCCCCCCAAGCATTTACTGTGCGAAGGAATTTGTTCCTGAGCTGGAGCTGCCGCTGCAGGTGACTTCTGTGACTCCATCGAGTGCCTGAATGGTGGGACCTGCCTGTCACAGGACGAGCTCCCCTTCTATTGCCTCTGCCCCGAAGGCTTTACGGGGCCCATTTGCAACGAGACTGAGAAAGGTACCTGCAGTGGGCGGCACCTGCCTCCCTCCGCCTCCCCTCGCTCCCAGTCTCAGCCCAGGCTGCTGGGGTGAGCCGGTCTGTGTTGCAGTGGGCAGTGTCCCCCGCACCTGTCGGTTGTCAGCCAGCATTTCCCTGGAACCTGCCCCGCGCCCCCCCCTCCGCTTCAAGCCCCTTGCAAAGCTGGGTGCTTCCTTGATTTGGGCTGATCCACCCACACACGACCCTCCTTGGCCCCAGGCTGGCTCTGGCCCCACCAGGCAGGGTGTGGGGGGGGAGGAAGGGAAGGCCTGGGAGAGGGAGGTGGGCAGTGGGCGGAGCTTAGGCAGAGGGTCCCTTTGGGCTAGGTCCAACGGTTGCTGTCTGTCTCTTTGCTGTCTGCCTCCGCCAACCCCCTGGCCTCCCCCCCCCCCCCCTCCCCCTCTTTCCTGATCACCTGCCCATCTTACCTGCCTCCTCTTACCCAGGTCCCTGTTTCCCAAACCCCTGCCGCAATGATGCCGAATGCCAGGTGCTTGATAAGGAGGCACTCCGTGGCGATGTCTTCCAACAGTATGTCTGTGAGTGCCAGCAAGGCTACACGGGCATCCATTGTGAGAACAGTGAGTATCTGGGGCCTGCCCCGTCGGCGGGGGGGGGGGGGGGGGGGGGGCGGGGGGAGGGGGAGCGGGGGGCGGTGACCCTGAGCCACAGTCCTGGCAGCCAGGCCATGTCTGGTGTCATTAGCCCCTGTGTCAGGGCCTCCTCTGGGTAGATTGAGGGTGGGTCAGAGCCTACGTGAGGCCATAGGATGGGGGCGGGGTTTGGTTGCTCCTCTCCTGGCTTCTTTCCTGGGGCTGCAGGCCAGGCCAGGTGTCCCTGCAGGGGGAGCGAGGGGGGATGGTGGCCCCTGAATCATGCGAGCGCCGTTTCCTGGGTCCCCATGAACCAGATAAAGAGCATCAGGGTTAAGTGTTGGGGGTTTTCTTTCTTTTTTGTTTTGTTTTTGTTTATAGACTTTTATTGATTTCAGAGGGGAAGGGAGAGGGAGAGAGGGATGGAAGCATCAATGATGAGAGAGAATGATTGATTGGTTGCCTCCTGCACACTCCCCGCTGGGGATCGAGCCCGGAACCCGGGCATGGGCCCTTGACCGGAACCCAACCTGGGACCCTTCAGTCTGCAGGCCGATGCTCTAACCACTGAGCAACCCGGCTCAGGCAAGTGTTGGGGTTTTTCTACCAAGAGGGGAAAAGAAACACATTTTTAATCTTTTGGAGCCTGGGGAGGTCAGTCAATGAAGCTTGGGCCTCAGGGTCTGACAGCTCCTGGCCCATGTTTGACCTTCAGCTTCATTATGGAGTTGAGGAGGGCGGGGCCTGGGGAGGCTGGGCTGGCCCTTTACATCAGCGGTTCTCAACCTGTGGGTTCTCGACCCCTTTGGCAGCCGAACGACCCTTTCCCAGGGGTCGCCTAAGACCATCCTGCCTATCAGATATTTACATGACGATTCATCACAGTAGCAACATGACAGTGATGAAGCAGCCACGAAAATAATTTTATGGTGGGGTCACCACGTGAGGAACTGCATTTAAAGGGCCAGAAGGCTGAGAACCACTGCTTTACAGTTAGAGGCCCAGCATAGCCGGGCACATGCAGAAAGCTGGCCTGCTTGCTTACCCGGCAGCCGCAGAATGGGCCTGGGTGGGCCCAGCTGACACCGCCCGCCGTGGCTGTCATGGCCTCCCTCCTGGTCAGGTGTGAAAAGTCCACACCCAGGCCAGGGGTGGGTGCGGGGGTGGGGCGGACTTCTCCAGTCCTTTGTGTCTGTCCCTGGGCATCCTGGGTGGGGGGCAGGAGGTTGTCCTCAGACAGACGAGGGGACACGTCAAGTTTGCTGGGGCCCTGTCGGGGGAGCAGGTTAAATGATGCCCTTCACCTCACAGGCATGGGCCCTGGGCCGAGGCCAATGTGTTTGACATCCTGGGTGCAGGAATGTGTGGGGGGTGTGTGTGTGGGGGGTGAGGGGGGGCTCGCCATGCAGACAGCCCTGGGTGGGGGACAGGTGGGCCCGCTAATTACTGTGCTGGGCGCCGAGGTAACCATGGGTGTGTGCCTGAGTTGGAATTACCCACCTAGCCTCCTGTGCCTTCTGGCCTGGGGTCTGCCCTAGACGGGTGGCACCTGGGCGAGGCAGGAGGCATCTACAGAGGCTGAGCAGCCCCCCAGAGGGACCTTTGTAGCCTCCCCCTTTTTTTTTTTTGTTAATCCTCACCCGAGGCTATTTTTCCATTGATTTTAGAGAGAGTGGAAGAGAGAGGGAAAGACAGAGAGAAACATTGATGTGAGAGAAACACATGGATTGGTTGCCTCTTGCTTGTGCCCTGACCAGGGCCCGGGCCAGGGAGAAACCTGCAACCAAGGTACATGCCCTTGACTGGAATCGAACCCGGGACCTTTTGGTCCGCAGGCCGATGTTCTATCCTTTGAGCCAAACCGGCTAGGGCTGCAGCCCCTTCTTGTTATGTGCTATGTTTCCTGGGAGCCTACAAGGATCCCACAAGCCTCAAGAATGCATGTTTGAGCCCTTAAGGGGGCAGGCACATGGGGTGTGAGGATAGGCTCAGCCACTGGCGGCTCTGACCCTGGAGCCCCACTTTGAACCCCATTCTCCCTGCATGAGCCTGGGGTGCGGCGGTGTAGGGTGGCCTGAACCTGGGTTCCCTGCTGGGAGCCAGGAGATCGGCTCACCCCTTGACCACTTCGCTGGGGTGATGGTGAAGGCGATGGGGCCTCGCCAGGGGCGGTTGGGCAGGTGGCTGGGGCAGGACCAGCAGTTGGAACGGGCAGAGGGTCCGAGAGAAATAAGAACGGCCTTCACGTCCCACCAGAAAACTCGTGCCATATGGGGTTCTAGAAGACTCCACACGCATTTGCTTATGGGTGTGCTTATTGCTTTGTGGACAGCCCACTGCCATCTGAGGTGCCCCTTCTCCCAAAGCCAGGGGAGCCAGGGGCGGGGCTGGGTGCAGTGGTCCTCCTGATAGGACCCTCCAGCTGTCAATCACGGCAGCCTCAGGCATACAGGCCTGGGTGCTGAGCTTGCTTCCTCACCGCGCATCCTTTCCCGTTGTCCCCTATGGTCTCTGCTCTGGGTCCTTGGCGGAGGCCACACCGTCTGCCTTTTTATTCTCTCGTCCTCTGGGTCCCGCCTGCGAGGGTGGCCACCCGACTGCCGTCTCCTTCCCTGCAGGGTGCGCCATGCCGCTGGGCATGGAGACGGGGGCCATCGCCGACCGGCAGATCTCCGCCTCGTCCGTGCACTGGGGCTTCATGGCTTTGCAGCGCTGGGCCCCGGAGCTGGCCCGCCTGCACCGCTCGGGCATCGTCAATGCCTGGACAGCCAGCAACTACGATCGGAAACCCTGGATCCAGGTATGGAAGTGGGGGGGGGGGGCTGAGGGGGGAGGGGGGCATGATGGGAGGAGAAAAGGTGAGATGAGTGTGCCTGCATTTGGTCACCGTGGGAGGGTTCATCAGGGAGTCCAGGTATCAAGGTAGCAGGTTCCTCCAGATCAGTGGTCGGCAAACTGCGGCTCGCGAGCCACATGCGGCTCTTTGGCCCCTGGAGTGTGGCTCTTCCACAAAATACCGACTTCTGCGCATGGGCCACGAAGTTTTGATCGCACTGTCCGTGCGCGCCCGCACGTGGTATTTTTTTAAAAATATATTTTATTGATTTTTTACAGAGAGGAAGGGAGAGGGACAGAGAATTAGAAACATCGATGAGAGAGAAACATCGATCAGCTGCCTCCTGCACACCCCCTACTGGGGATGTGCCTGCAACCAAGGTACATGCCCTTGACCGGAATCAAACCTGGGACCCTTGAGTCCACAGGCCGATGCTCTATCCACTGAGCCAAACCGGTTAGGGCCCGCACGTGGTATTTTGTGGAAGAGCCACACTCAAGGGGCCAAAGAGCCGCATGTGGCTCGCGAGCCGCAGTTTTCCCACCACGGCTCCAGATGAAGTGTCTGTAAGTGGAGAGCAGCCTTGGGGGGCTTGGAGTAGGTGGGCGGGGTGAGGGGGAGCCAGCCTCAGGCTGTGGAGGGGCTGTTTGCACTGGATAAGGTCTCTGGGGGCCTTGTCCATCCTTCTGGGCTTCCCAGAGCACTGGGTCCCCAGACCTGAGAGGGTGGGACGAGAGAGACTCCATCCACCATTTATCCTGCTTGCACTGCCCCTGCTCTGGGTGGGGGGAGAGGGGGAGGTAGAAGGGACGCGGGAGTTTTAAGTGTCCCGTCCTGCCCACCCTGGGTCCAGGTGAACCTGCTACGGCGGATGCAGGTGTCGGGCGTGGTGACGCAGGGCGCCAGCCGCGCAGGCAGAGCCGAGTACGTGAAGGTGTTCAAGGTGGCGTACAGCTTCGACGGGAAAAAGTTCAAGTTCATCCAGGACGACGGGAACTCAGGAGACAAGGTGAGGCCGCCTGGGCCGTAAGGAGGGCTGTGGTCGCAGCCCGGGGTTCCAGCATTGTTCGACGGCCCCCACTGAGGCGAGGGTGGGTAGCCTGGGTGATTGGCCATGAGGGGAGCGGGGTCTTGAAGGGCATCTTTGCTTCCAGAAATTGGGAAACCCAGATTATTCCCATGTTTTGTGGTTACAAGTAAATCGCCTCACTTTATTTATTATCATTATTATTTTTTTTCTTATCCTTTGGATATATACCCAGAAGTGGGATTGATGGAGCGTATGATAGTTCTATTTCTAATTTTTTTTAAATGTTTTTATTTTGGTGTTGTTAATTCTCACTCAAGGATATTTGTCCATTGATATTTTAAAAAATATATATTTTATTGATTTCAGAGAGGAAGGGAGAGGGAGAGAGAAACATTAATGATGAGAGAGAATCATGGATCGGCTGCCTCCTGCACGCCCCACACTGGGGATGGAGCCCGCAACCCAGGCATGTGCCCTGACCGGGACTCGAACCATGACTTCCTGGTTCCACACCTGCTGGGCTCCATTGGTGTTTTTTTTTGAGAGAGAGAGTGGAAGGGAGTGGGAGAGGCAATGAGAGAGAAACATTGATGAGAGAGAGAGAGAGAGACATTGATTGGTTGCCTCTGGGGCCAAGGATTGAGCCTGCAACCTAGGTACGTGCCCTTGACCAGAATGGAATCTGGGACCCTTCAGTCCATAGGCCGGTGCTCTATCCACTGAGCCAAACCAGCCAGGGCAATAGCCCCACTTTATAGATGAGAATAGTGAGACTCAACAGTGACCTGTTGCGGGGGTGGGGGGGGGGTGGAGGAGGAAGGGGTAGGGGAGCTGGGGTGCACTCTGAGCCTTCAGTGCCACCACGTACAGCCGTGCAGCTGGCACGATCAAGGATATCACTAGCAGGCGAGCCCATTCACCACGGGGACATATGTTTGTGTGCTTCTACCTGTGGGAAAACTGTTACAATAAAACGCCTTGAGAAAGGAGTGTCCTTTCCAAACTCGCACAGGCACCGTGGAGATTGATAGGTGGCCCTGTGTGCAAGACAGGGGTTCGTGCCCAGGCACCGGGATGACCAAGGAAGGTGCGACAAGGGGGCGTGGCCAGGGGAAGGGCCAAGTCCCTGCTAAGCCCACCTGCCCGCCCCCTAGGCCCAGGAGGAAAGGGGCAATCCCAGGAAGGGGGCCTGCCCCCATTGACCGTCCCTCTATTCCAGTGGTTCTCAACCTTCTGGCCCTTTGAACAGTTCCCCATGTTGTGACCCAGCCATAAAATTATTTTCGTGGCTACTTCATCACTGTCATGTTGCTACTGTGATGAATCGTCAAGTAAATATCTGCTATGCAGGATGGTCTTAGGCGACCCCTGTGAAAGGGTCGTTCAACCGCCAAAGGGGTCGCGACCCACAGGTTGAGAACCGCTGCTCTACTCGAGTCTCTCTCCTAGATATTTATGGGGAACGTGGACAACAATGGCCTGAAGGTCAACATGTTTGACGTCCCTCAAGAGTTGCAGTACGTGAGGCTGATGCCCGTTGGCTGTCACCGGAGCTGCACCCTGCGCTTTGAGCTCCTTGGCTGCGAGGTGAATGGTGAGTGCTGGCGGCTGGGGTCCACCCCAGGGGCTGGCCTCTCTTCTCAGCCAAGCTGAGCTGGGCAGGGCTGTAGCAAGGCCCAGGGCCCCGGCTCACACAGCAGAGGCACACGAAAGGGGTCACCCGGCCGTCAGCGGCCCTGCCCGGGTATGATCCTCTCTGTGCCAACCCATGGCATTCTGGTGGGGAGAGGACAAAAGAGACGCCACTTCCGTTCTCAAAGTCTTGTCACTTAATTCTGATTTGTCCACTGCTCGATTCCCAGTGCCTAGAACAGTGCCTGGATAAATACTTGATGAAGGAGTGAATGAATGAGGAAAGTGAGGCCCAGATAAATTGTTAGTTTTTTAAAAAAATATATATTCTTATTTATTTCAGAGAGGAAGAGAGAGGGAGAGAGAGTTAGAAACATCCATGATGAGAGAGAATCATGGATCGGCTGCCTCCTGCACGCCCCACACTGGGGATCGAGCCCGCAACCCGGGCATGTGCCCTGACCGGGACTCGAACCGTGGCCTCCTGGTTCATAGGTCGATGCTCAACCACTGAGCCACGCCGGCTGGGCAAATTATTAGTATTTTTAAAAAATATATTCTTATTTATTTCAGAGAGGAAGAGAGAGGGAGAGAGAGTTAAAAATATCAATGATGAGCCGAAACCGGTTTGGCTCAGTGGATAGAGCGTCGGCCTGCGGACTGAAGGGCCCCAGGTTCGATTCCGGTCAAGGGTATGTACCTGGGTTGCGGGCACATCCCCAGTGGGGGATGTGCAGGAAGCGGCTGATCGATGTTTCTCTCTCATCGATGTTTCTGACTCTCTCTCCCTCTCCCTTCCTCTCTGTAAAAAATCAATAAAATATTAAAAAAAAAAATATCAATGATGAGGGAGAATCATGGACTGGCTGCCTCACTGCATGCCCTTGACTGGAATCCAACCAGGACCCTTCAGCCCGCAGGCTGATGCTCTATCCATTGAGCCAAACGGGCTAGGGCCCAGATAAATTATTTATCAGGGGCACACAGCTGGCAGGCATTAAAACTTGGTCTAGATCCCTGGGTTTCTGGCATCTACCCATCGAGTACTTTTACTCTCCACACTTCCTGTCCCTCCCGCCCCGCAAAAAACTCCGGTTTGTCTGCCTTTAAGAGAAACAGGGGCTTCTAGGGTAGCTGGTGCTTCCTGCTGCCATTTCCAGGGACAGTCCCAGACAGAGGAATGGGGACAAGAAAGGGACGGGTTTCCTCTGAGCCAGGAAAAAACCGCGCCATTGGGGGAGGCCAGGGTGCAGGGGGCTGGGCGGCCCAGCTTCCCTGTCTCTGCTCAGCTGTTTTCTCTGAGATCCAGGTAGCGGGTCCCGCTTTTTTGCAGCCACAGTGCCACCTGCTGGCCACTGGCGGAACTGCAGGACTTATAAGGCCGATTGCCTTTCTCGTGTTACCCCAAGACCCACCCTTTGCGCCCCCTTTCCCCTCCGTGGCACTTCTTCCTGCGACCCCCATTTCAGATACCACCCAGTACCATTCAGAGCTGACGTCTGTGTGCCTGGCTGGGTTTAGGTTTTTTTTAAAAATATATTTTATTGATTTTTTACAAAGAGGAAGGGAGAGGGATAGAGAGTTAGAAACATCGATGAGAGAGAAACATCGATCAGGTGCCTCCTGCACACCCCCCACTGGGGATGTGCCCGCAACCAAGGTACATGCCCTTGACCGGAATCGAACCCGGGACCCTTGAGTCCGCAGGCCGACGCTCTATCCACTGAGCCAAACCGGCCAGGGCTAGTTTCTTTGTTGTTGTTTTTTAAAGTGTGAACTTAAGTCTGTGTTCCCAGGGCCACTACCTTTTGAGCCTAAGTGTGTAAGTGGGGAGTTAACGAATTGCCTTCTGGGTGCAAAAGGTGAAGGGATTAAGTTAAAAACAAAACTAAACAAAACACTCCTCGACACCGACAACAGAATGGTGATTACCGGCGTGAGAGGGGGGTGGGCAGAGGGAGAGGAGGGTGAAGCGGGGATAGATGGTGATGGGAGGAGACTGGGCTGTGGTTGGTGAACATACAACACGGTATGCAGATGCTGTATTACAGGATCGTACACTTGCAACCTAATTTTATTAACCAGCGTCACCCCAACACATTCAATACAAATTAAAAGAGAAAAAGACGTTGCCTTCTGCCCAAAGGAAATGCTGGCCGTCGGTAAAGGGCAGAGGCAGTTTCTGGGGGTCCCGACTCTGGGTCCCATCCTTGGAGTCCCTTCCTACTCGCTGTTCTAGTCTGAAGCCTTAGGCCAGCGGTTCCCCGTGTGGGGCACACGCCCACAGGGGGGCAATCTGATTTTTAAGGGGGGGCAATTCCAGAATGAGTTTTTTTTTAAAATATATTTTTATTGATTTCAGAGAGGAAGGGAGAGGGGTAGAGAGATAGAAATATCAATGATGAGAAAGAGTCATTGATTGGCTGCCTCCTGCACGCCCCCCCCGCCCCTCCCATGGGGGATCGAGCCCACAACCCAGGCACGTGCCCTTGGCCGGAATCGAACCTGGGACCCTTCAGTCCGCAGGCCGACGCTTTATCCACTGAGCCAAACCAGCCAGGGCCGAGAATGAGTTATTAACAGTGAATGTTTTGCATTTCCTCTGGTTCTAGGGGCCTCATAGACAGTCTATAAATAGACATGGTGGCATATTTATGGATTTCAGTTCTCTATTCTATGTTTCGAAACTGTATTTGCTGTTTTTTCCTATCACTTCCTATTACTATTTTTTTAAACAATTTCTTAGTGATTTCTTCCTCCGTCCTTCCACTGTCCTTTCGTTCTTTTATTTTTCTCTGTCATGGGTGCCATGTTCTTTGGAAGCTTGTTTAGACCAAGTTCATGGCCTTTGAGGCTTCCTCCACGTGACTAGGAGCTCACTTTTTGAATAATAAGAATTACAGGTCGGGGGGGGGGGCATAGGATGTCAGAGATGGTGGGGCGTGGCCACAGAGAGGTTGGGAAGCACTGCCTTAGCGGTTACAGTTGCCTGTACGGTCCTGTCCCAGCCGGCTCCCTTCCAGGCCGAGATAGGCTGAGCCTGGCCAGCCAAACAAACGAGGATGCCCTGTCTCCTTCCCTGAGGGCTGGGCCGTCTCCTTGCCCTGCTAGGCATTCCAGTCGGCTGGCTCTCCAAGCCCACTGCCCCCCCTCTCCCCTCCCAGTTACCCCAAGGGAGACCAGCTGTGGACTGGAGATTCCGCCAGATGTGAGACACACCCATCCCTCCCCTGGGAGTCTTCAGCTATTCTGAAGGGCACCTGAAGGTGCACGCGACTAGTGGAAAACAGCCCGGCACATGCCTGAGTGTTTGGGGCAGGCCTGAATGAAACCCAGGCCCCCTCTCGAGGCCCGCCCTCACAGGCCTGTCTGACAGTATGCCAGCTGTCGGGCGTGGAATCTTCTAGGCCAGTGATGGCGAACCTTTTGAGCTCGGCGTGTCAGCATGTTGAAAAACCCTCACTTAACTCTGGTGCCGTGTCACATAGAGAAATTTTTTGATCTTTGCAACCCTAGTAAAACAAAGACTTCTATTTTTGATATTGATTTTATATATTTAAATGCCATTTAACAAAGAAAAATCCACCAAAAAAATGAGTTCGCGTGTCACCTCTGACACGCGTGTCATAGGTTTTCGCCATCACTGTTCTAGACGCCGACAGAGGGTCTGCTGGGCAAGGATCAAGGTTGGTCCCTGAGCCCCAGGAGTTCTGATTCTTTGACTTTCTCCGGCTGGAAGTCCTGTTCACGGCTCTGGGTGGGCGTGTGGATGGTGGAGACGATGTCACAGCGTGGCGTGGCAATCAGGAGTTTGAGTGTGGGGCTTGGTGCACAGTGTTTGTCTCTCGGCCTCAGTTTTCTCGCCTGTCAAATGGGGTGGCTAATATCTTCAGGTTTCTGTGTGGGAGATGAATTGACCGAAGTGAGCACTGAATCAGTGAGATGGTTGTTACTTGTGTCCTGGATGATCATCCCAGGACTCAGCAGTACTGTAGGAGTGATATAGGAAGTGCCGAGAGTCCAGAGGAGGGACAAGTCCTGCCCAAGTGAGGTGATCAGGGCAGGCTTCTTGGAGGAGGTGTCTCACAGGCAGGCCTTGAAGGAGGGTGGGAAGTGGTGGGTCGATCAGGGCCTGCCCTGGTGCAGAGAAGGAAGAGTAGCAGGTGATCGGTGAAGGGCAAGTCGGGTAGGGGTGGGAGCTGAGGGCAGGTGGCTGAGGGAGGAGTGGGTGGGCGGGCAGTGAGAACGAAGGATGGTTAATTTAATTTTTAAAAATATTTTTATTGATTTCCGAGAGGAAGGGAGAGGGAGAGAGATAGAAACATCAATGATGAGAGAGAATCATTGATCGGCTGCCTCCCGCACGCTCTATGCTGGGGACTGAGCCCGCACCCCAGCCAGACGCACCGATTGGGAATTGAACCCTGACCTCCCAGTTCACAGGTCGATGCTCAACCACTGAGCCACACGGGCTGGGCAGGACTGTTGATTCTAAAAGGCAGAAGGAGCTGCTGTCCCAGAGGATGCCAGGGGCTGGTGGGATCCACACACTTCTCCCCACTTCATTGCCTGGTGCTCACACCCCTGGGAGCTGGGGGACCCTAGATCTACCAGCCCCCCCTTGTTAGCAGGATGTGATGAACCCCTGGGCATGAAGGACAGAACCATCCCTGACAAGCAGATCACGGCCTCCAGCATCTACAGGACCTGGGGCCTGAGTTCCTTCAGCTGGTACCCCCACTACGCGCGGCTGGACCAGCAGGGCAAGTTCAACGCCTGGACCGCGGAGAAAAACTCTGCCTCTGAGTGGCTGCAGGTGGGCCCGGCTCCGGGGGCGGGATGGGGGGGAAGGGGGGAGCGGGGGGGCTGCCAGGTCTCTGACTTCCTCGCGGCCCAGGCTTCCGCTCCCCAAGAGGGAATTTCTGAAAAGTCTTGTTTGTTTGCTGTTTTCTCCTGCCATGTACCCCACCTCCCTCCTGATTCTGTGAGATCGGGGGGGGGGGGGGGGGGGGGGCGGAGGGAGAGCAGGGGAGCTCACTGCTGCTTCAACGGAGGCCTGCAGCCCTGGGGTAGTAAGGGTGTGTGTGTGTATACCTGTGCGTGGGTGTATATCTGTGTGTGTGTATCTGTGTGTGTGTGAGTATCTGTGTGTATGTCTGTGTCTGTATATCTGTGTGTGTCTGTGTGTATATCTGTGTGTGTGTCTGTATCTGTGTGTGTGTGTGTATCTGTGTGTATGTCTGTGTCTGTATATCTGTGTGTGTCTGTGTGTATATCTGTGTGTGTGTATCTGTGTGTGTGTGTGTATCTGTGTGTATGTCTGTGTCTGTATATCTGTGTGTGTCTGTGTGTATATCTGTGTGTGTGTCTGTGTGTATATCTCTGTGTGTGTATCTATGTGTGTGTGTGTATATCTCTCTGTGTGTGTATCTATGTGTGTGTGTGTATCTCTGTGTGTCTGTATATCTGTGTGTGTATCTATGTGTGTGTGTCTGTATAACTCTGTGTGTGTGTGTCTGTGTATATCTCTGTGTGTCTGTATATCTGTGTGTGTATCTATGTGTGTGTATCTGTGTGTGTGTGTGTGTCTGTGTATAACTCTGTGTGTGTGTGTCTATGTATCTCTCTGTGTGTCTGTGTATATCTGTGTGTATATATGTGTGCGTGTCTGTATATCTGTGTGTGTGTCTGTGTACATCTCTGTGTGTCTGTATATCTGTGTGTATGTCTGTATATCTGTGTGTGTCTCTATCTCTGTGTGTGTATCTGTGTGTGTGTGTGTATCTGTGTGTGTGTGTGTGTGTCTATGTATCTCTCTGTGTGTCTGTGTATATCTGTGTGTATATATGTGTGCGTGTCTGTATATATCTGTGTGTGTGTCTGTGCATATCTGTGTGTGTGTATATCTGTGTGTGTGTCTGTGTATCTGTATAAGTGTGTGTATGTGTACGTGTCTGTATACCTGTGTGTCTTTCTATCTGTATGTGTGTCTGTGTCTGTGTATGTGGAGGGTGTGTGTGTGTGTCTGTGCATATCTGTATATCTGACCGTGTGTGTCTGCCTGTCTGTATGTCTGCCTGTCTGTGTGTCTGCCTATTTGTATGTGTGTCTGTGTGTGTGTGTGTGTGTGTCTGTGTATGTGTGTGGGGGTGGGGTGGGGGTGTGTTGGTAGGGGGAGAGCCACCTCCACTGGCTGCCCCAGGGAAACCAGGCTGAGCCCATGGACGGCAGGGCAGGGTGGAGGAGGCGCCCCAAGACAGGCACCTTGGGGCTTCCCTGCCTGAGCACAGAGCACTGCTCTCTGACACGCTGTCTGAGAACAGATCACAGGGTAGCCCCCCGGGTTTCAATGAAACTGGGAACCACGAGAATCGCGAACACCAGAGCATCGCTCATGTCACAGATGCGGAAGCGGGGTCCTCGCAGTGTCAGGAATTGCCTGGGGCTCCCCTGCTGGCTGGCAGTGGGTGGAGTTTGCACCCTGGGGCCTGGGGCTGCCTGTGTGGGAGCAGGTGGCCGCTCCCCAGGCTGGTCAGGGCCGGGATCAGGCCTGCCTCTGGGCCCCAAGGAGCACATTAGCCCGTGGAGCCGGGTTCTGTGAGGCGCTGCCTGCCTTTGGGCTCCTCAGGACCCAGGTCAGGCTGTGGTCAGCCCCGCCGGGGCCCCCGGGAGCACTTTATGCTGAGGGGTTGGCCAGGGCCCCGACTCTGAAATGTGAGCTCCGTTGCAGTGAATTGCCTCATTGACAAAGTTGGTGGTACTTACTTTTTATTTTTTATATTTTTATTGATTTCCGAAAGGAATGGAGAGAGAGAGAGATAGAAACCTCAATGATGAGAGAGAATCATGGATCGGCTTCCTTCTGCACATCCCACACTGGGAATCGAGCCCGCAACCCGGGCATGTGCCCTGACTGGGAATCGAACCGTGACCTCCCGGTTCCTAGGTCGACGCTCAACCACTGAGCCACACCGGCCGGGCATATTTATGCCCATTTTACAGATGAGGAAACTGAGGCTGTGAGGCCAACATCCTCCCTGACAAGCGGCTTTCCCCAAACTGCACTTCCTGTCTCAGCGTGTCTGCCTTTTCCCACTTTACCGGAAGGGGTGCAAGCGAAGACAATGTGGTTGAAGACATAGTGGTTGATTTTATTTTCTGGGTTTTTTTGTTTGTTTGTTTGTTTTTTCCCCTGTAGATCGACTTGGGCTCTCAGAAACAGGTGACCGGCATCATCACGCAGGGGGCCCGAGACTTCGGCACCATCCAGTACGTGGCGGCTTACAAGGTGGCCCACAGTAACGATGGCCTGAAATGGACCGAGTATAAGGACCCGGGGGCCGAGGGCAGCAAGGTGAGTGTCAGCCGCCTGCCCCTCGCCACTCCACGGTGCGGTGCCCTGCGCGTTGGGCCTCTCAGGGGAAGGGGGCAGCCCTAGAGGGCCTCTGAGGGGAGGGGGGCAGCCCTGGAGGGCCTCTGAGGGGAGGGGGGCCAGCCCGGTGGCCTTCCTGACACCTTCTCTGTCTCTAGATCTTCCCAGGCAACTTTGACAATAATTCCCACAAGAGGAACATGTTTGAGACGCCCTTCATGGCTCGTTTTGTGCGCGTCCTGCCCGTGGCCTGGCACAACCGCATCACCCTCCGGGTGGAGCTGCTGGGATGCTCGTAGGTCTAGCTGATGGGACCGGATGGCCTGTTCTCCTGACCTTCTGTGGTCCTGCTGCCTCCTCCACCCACCGCCCGCCTGATTGTAGTGCCGTGGGGGGCGGGGAGGGGGGGTGAAGATGTCGGTCACCTCTCCCTCCCTCTGTCCTCCTCACACCTCACCTCCCACACGCCCGCCCCACCTCCCACCTGCCCCTGGCGCCCAACCCTCATGCCAGGTGAGCCGCAGGCAATTCCTGGCCCTGCCAGACTCCCTCTTCTACACTTGATCTTGCCAAAAGGCCGAGAGCCAACCCATCCCATGTTCTTAGGCGCTGTGGGAGTTGAGTAGGTCTGGGATTCCAGCCTCTGTTGCCAATAGCCCACCTCCCACCCCCCACATTCCCATGGCCCTGGAGGAAGGGCCCCGAGGCGCCAGGCTGGAGTAACAGACGCCTGCCGCTCAGCCTGGAGCCATGATGCAGCCATTCCCGATGCCGCCACCCAGAACCTCTGACACTCCCACAACCTCCCTGGAGACCCCTCTTGACCCTTGAGCTGCAGCCTAGAAAGACAGCAGGGGATGGGGTGGGTCCATGGACAGACGGGGAGGAGGTGGGCGGGCCTGGGCGGCCCCCCGAATGCACAGGCAACTTCCAAAATATATTTATGTCACTGCCTGGAGCTCTTGCTGCGTGGTTCTTCGTCCTCGTGCCGGTCCCCACCCTCAGCCTCAGTTTCCCCAGAGCCTCAGCGTGCTCCTCACCTGCCCGACTCCACGCTGCTTCCCAGCCGGAGGAAGGAGGAGGCTGCTGGGGGCCCACAGGGGGCCAGGACGCTGCCAAGTGGGCGCAGGGCCTCCTGGCTGAGCGCACTGGTTTCTGGGAGGTGCTGGCGCATCGGCTCCCTGGGCAGGGGCCATCAGGAAGTGGCCAGTGGGGGCAGCGCAGGCCAGCGCCTGGTGATCTGGGAAAGGGGCCGGCCACAGAGGAGGGAGGGACCGGGCTGGATGGAAACGGGGGCGGATGAAACCACCCTAGTTTTGGAGGCCTCGGGGCACAGGAGGAATTTTCCAGCACAAAATTGGGGAGCCAGGCTGCCATCCACAGAGGAGGCGCCTCGCCCCTGGGCGGCAGGTCTGGCCACATGGCTGCCAGAGGGAGGGTGTGGCTGTGCTGGGGCCTCACCAGGGAAATTCATCTGGAAGTGGCTCCTTAGAACTGGCCTCGTGAGGACTCGTTGGCTGGGCAGGGACAGAATAAGGGGCACAGGCCGAGGGCTCTAGATGAATGGGGGTTGTGGGGCTCCCCTCTTCTGGGGGTCCCCTGGCCCACCCACTCCTTCCTGTGTCACTCTCGGATTGGGTTTGGGGCCATTGATTTCAGAGAAGAGGGAGGGGGAGAGAGACAATCATCAGTGATGAGAGAGAATCATGGATCGGCTGCCCCCTGCACGCTCCCCACTGGGGATCGAGCCTGCAACCTGGGCATGTGCCCTGACCAGGAATCAAACCCTGACCTCCTGGTTCATGGGCCGACACCAGACTTCAGAGCCACCCCAGCCGGGCTGGAGCCAGTCTTTCAGCATGGTTGCTGGCCACGGGACTCCCTCCAGGGAGCATTTCCTGCCCCCAGCTCCCACCTGCTGCTCAGCCTTGCCCCTCCCGGGGGCGTTAAACTCACTTTGCTGTCACCAAGCTGGCCTTCCCTGCGGTCCATCCCTCTCCCCACACCTGTGGCCGTCAGCACTCGGGCCTGTGGGCCTGCCTCTCCCAGGAGTCTGGTCTCCTTTATGGTCCTCGTTTATGTTTATGTTATTTATTTTTTTGTTATTCCTCACCTGAGGATATTTTTCCATTGACATTTTAGAGAGAGTGGAAGGGAGAGGGAGAGACAGAGAGAAACATCCATGTGAGAGAGACGCATCGAGTGGTTGCCTCCTGCACCTGCCCCGACTGGGGGCCAGAGCCCGCAACCAAAGTATGTGCCCTTGACCGGAATCGAACCCGGGACCCTTCAGTTCACAGGCCGATGCTCTATCCACTGAGCCAAACCGGCCAGGGCTGGTGCTTGTTTAAACATAATGAAGTGATAAGGAGCCTTGGGTCTGAGGTTGGACAGCCTGGCCCCGAGGAACGATCAATATTGAAATCTCTGGGCCTTAGCAATAAGAGGGCCGACTCCATGGCCTCCTGGGGACTAAGGGAGGGAGGGTACCCATGCAAAGCGGTGCCCATGGGAGGCCTCAGACCCTGGGCATCCTTGTCAGAGAAGCTTGCAAGAGTGTCCTGATAGGTACCCATGTTCTACGTATCTCCCCTCCAACCCATTCTGCACACTGTGGCCAGCCATCTCTTCCTCACAGAGGAACCATCAATGGCTCCCTTTTGCACATCAGGCCTGGCCCTCCCTCCGGTGCAGGCAGCCCCAGTCACTGCAGCTCTGCTCGGCTGTGCTCCCCGCCCTCGTGTGTAACACACACAGGCAGGCATGCACGCGTGTGCACCCAAGCGGGGTCTTGGCGTGTTTAGGAAGAGTCTCTGTGCTCGGAGACCCTGTGGCCCACCCCCCGCAGTGGTTCTCAACCTTCCTAATGCCGCGACCCTTTAATACAGTTCCTCCTGCTGTGGCGACCCCCAATTTCATTGTTACCAGTTGAACATAATGAAAGCATAGTGATTCATCACAAAAACAATATGTCATTATATATGTGTTTTCCGATGGTCTTAGGCGACCCCTGTGAAAGGGTCGTTCGACCCCCAAAGGGGTCGCGACCCACAGGTTAAGAACCGCTGCAGGCCTAAAGGCTTTTCTGCTGAGCAAACTGTCAGCCCACGCCCCCTGCTGGTCGGGACAGGAAGGAAAACACCCTCCCGAAGGTGGGGGCGGCCATAGCCCACGTGCAGAGGGCTGGGGAGGGGTCCCCCTCCCCGCTTAGTCGCACTGTTTGGGGTAAGCCAGAGCGTCCTCATGGGACCCCCCTCTACAAATGCTGCTCCACCCCCCCACTCACCTGCCCCAAGGCCTCCGCTCCGGACACCCCCTTCACAGCCCGGCCAGCAGCCCCGCCGGTGGGGAGGTCCCCAGCGACGTCTGGAGCGCAGGCCACCTCCTCCCCCTGGGCCCGGCCCTCGGAGGGAAAGGGGCGTGTATTCCTTTAAGGGGCAGGCCCGGCGGGAGCGCGGGGGTTTGCCCGCAGCCGCTTCCTTTCTGGCCGCTCCAGGTCCCCCGATCCGCCTGTGTCCTCGGACCCGGAGAGCCCGCACCCCCCGAGCGCGCGGGCCGTCGAGGAGCCGCGGGGGACGGTGCGTTCCTCCCTCGGGGCTCCGGGGCTCCCGCGGCCCCCACGCGTCCGCGGCCGGGCGGCTGGGCTGTGAACACGCGCGCGGGGCGCTCGGGGCGCCAGGAAGGTGAGAGCGCGCGGGGCGCAGGCCGGCTGCGCGGGACCCGCGTGCGCGCCCCGAAGGGGCACCATCAGGGCGCACCCCGGGGCCTCCGGGACCGCCGCCCGGGCCCAGCCCCCTCCCCGTGGGGGGCCGCCCGACTCCTTCCCACCCCGTCTTGTCGGGGCCCTGCAGCCGCCAGCACAGCGCGCCACGCGCCGGGTCAGCCTCGGGGCATCTGCCCCACGCGCGGTGCGGGGCCACGGGAACCCGGGGGTGCGGGTGGAGACACCCCGCTGGCGGGCGGGCGGACCTGCAGCCCCAGGGCAAACGCGAAGGATGCCCGTCGGTTTCAGGCCTCACTTCCCTGGGGTTTCTGCCCTGAGACCCGAAAGGGCAGGGAGGGGGCAGGGGGGAGTCCTGGGTGGGAGATGGGGCGCTCAAGGGGGGGAATTCGGGGCTGGTGAGCGCCCAGGAAGGAAACAGCAGTGGCCTGGGACCCACCCAGCTCCGTCACCAGCCTGTGACCCCGTGTGGTGGCCAGCGCTGACCCTCCGGCGTGCCCCTGCTCCCTGCCGCAAGGGGAGGTGATGGAGAGGCGCCCCAGCTCCTCTCCCGGGCCCCAGGGCTGGGATTGCTAGTAGGAATCACCCCCGGCCCCCACTTTCCCGGGCCGCAGGTCTCAAAGGCATTTGCAAGCCTTGTCTGAACTGGGGGGGCACCCAAGTCAGATTCCTCCCGGCGGCGGGATGCTGGAGACCCGCAGGGCAATGCTGCCCCCTGCTGGCGTCTGGGGGACTCGCACTCTGGTGGGCTCCATCTGCGTTCCAAGTCGGGGTTCAGGTTATTCTAGCCTGTGGAGGGGTCCCCAGGCGAGCAGTGCTGGGAAAAAGCCAAGGCTGGGCCGTCAGGAGACCTGAGTTTTTTCCCCTGAGCTCTACCTGCTTCCCAAGGATAAAACCCTGGCCTCAGTTTCCCCAGCGGGAAAGAGGGAGGAGAAAGAGTCCCCGAGATAATGTAAGACGTCTCTTTGTCAACCGTTCACAGTGGTCATAATAACCAATATTTTGGGGCGCTTCTCTCTGCCAGGCAGTATTCTAGTCCTCTGCCTTAATCTTCTTTTGTTGCTGTTGTTAATCCTCACCCGAGGATATTTTTCCATTGATTTTTATTTTTTATTTATTTTATTAAAAATATATTTTAAACAGAGAAGAAGGGAGAGGGATAGAAAGTCAGAAACATCAATGAGAGAGAAACATCAAGCAGCCGCCTCCTGCACACCCCCTACTGGGGATGTGCCCGCAACCAAGGTACATGCCCTTGACCGGAATCGAACCCGGGACCATTCAGTCCGCAGGCCGACGCTCTATCCACTGAGCCAAACCAGCCAGGGCTTTCCATTGATTTTTAGAGAGTGGAAGGGAGAGGGAGAGACAGAGAGAAACATCGCTGTGAGAGAAACACATCAATTGATTGCCTCCTGCACGCACCCCAACCAGGTCAGGGGCTAGAGAGGAGCCTGCAGCCAAGGAATGTGCCCTTGACCGGAACTGAACCCCAGACCCTCTGGTCCGCAGGCGGACGCTCTATCCACCGAGCCAAACCAGCTAGGGCCCCAGGTGAGTTTCACAAACAAGGAAACCTGCCCAGAATCACAACCAGTAAGACCCAGGCTCTGAGAACAGTGCTCAGTGCGTGGACGATGCTCCTCAAATACCTATTAAGCGGGAGAATGAGTGGGTGCTGGGACCCAGGGGTCCCGGCCCTCTGAAGAGGGGCGCCTTTAACTGGCTTGCTTTTCTTTTCTTTTCCATTTGCCTGGCCACAGCCTTGCCCAGGACACGCTGGCGCTGCCGCCATGGGCCGCCTGCTGCTCCTGGTCCTGCTGCTCCCGCTGCCCTGCGTCCCCGGCCTGCCCTTCTACAACGGCTTCTACTACTCCAACAGTGCCCACGGCTGGGACCCGGGCCTCGGCGGAGGTGGGTGGCGTCCTGGGCCCGGCTTTTTGCTTCGAAGGATGAGCAAGACCTCCCCTGGCTTTGCTGGGAAGTGCAGGTTCCAGGCTGGGATGGAGGACTGGCTATGGAGCCGGCAGCCTGGGCCCTGGCAGCCGACCAGCGTTGTTTCTTTCTTTCTTTTTTTAAAAAAATATTTTTATTGATTTCAGAGAGGAAAGGAGAGGGAGAGAGAGAGAGAGAAACATCAATGATGAGAGAGAATCATTGATGGGCTGCCTCCTGCACGCCCCCTGCTGGGGACCGAGCCTGCAACCTGGGCATGTGCCCCGACTGGGAATCGAACCGTGGCCTCCTGGTTCATAGGTCAAGGCTCAACCACACAGCCGTGGTGGTTTGGCACCAGCCTCGTTTCTAAGACCAGCAGAAAAGACGGCTCAGTGACTCTGTGCTTGGAGCCCCTTAGATGCACTGAAGGACGGTCTCTTCTGCTTTTTGTACTTTCCCAAAGTCCTGCCAGTTTGTCAAGATCCAGCTTAAAAAAGGTGACCTCTCCGTCCAACTGCATGGCTCCGTGGTTGGGAATCAACCTATGAACCGGGAGGTCAGGGTTCGATTCCCCGTCAAAGCACAAGCCTGGGTTGTGGGCTTTATTCCCCAGGAGGGGGCGTGCAGGAGGCAGCCAATTGGTGATTCTCTCTTATCATTGATGTTTCTCTATCCCTCTCCCTTCCTCTATGAAAGCAATAAAAATACATTAAAAAAAAAAAAGATACAGTACTTACAATTGCAGTTAGGACTCATTTGGAAAATCCAGTCTAAACACACCCCCTTTCTCAAGATCCTTCATGGAATCAATTTGCACAGTTCATTTTGCCGTATAAGGCCACACTCGGGGATTAGGACCTGGATATTTTGGGGAGCCATTCCTTAGCCTACACACCCCTTTTCTCTGGAATTTATTGTGCTGCCCAAGCACTACTTGAAGGAGGTTTATGGAAACTTCTGAATCATCACAAACTTAGGGGCTTACGATGCTTATTTTGTTCGTGATTCCACGGGTTGGCAGTTTGGCCTGGAACACTCATGTGCCTGCAAAGCCACAGTGGCTATGGGGAGGGGTGCAGCACTGTGGCTATTCTCGCCATGTGTCACGGAGGTGGGGCGGGAGGAGGGGCGGCCCTTGTGGGGGTACAGATGATCTGCAGCGGGACCCCCTCTGCGCCCATCCACCTCTCCCCCAGGCCTCTTCAACGGCGTGAAGCTGGTGGTGGAGACGCCCGAGGACGCCCTGCTGTCCCACCGGGGGGCCAACGTGACCCTGCCCTGCCGGTACCGCTACGAGCCGGCCCTGGCCTCCCACGGGCCCGTGCGCATCAAGTGGTGGAAGATGTCGGAGAACGGGGCCCCGGAGCAGGACGTGCTGGTGGCCGTCGGGCCCAGGCACCACTCCTTCGGGGACTACCGGGGCCGCGTGCACCTGCGGCCCGAGGGGGAGCGGGACGTGTCGCTGGAGATCCGGGACCTGCGGCTGGAGGACTCGGGGCGCTACCGCTGTGAGGTCATCGACGGGCTGGAGGACGAGAGCGGCGTGGTGGAGCTGGAGCTGCGGGGTGAGACCCCCAGTGGGGCTGCGGGATGCGGGGGGGGGGGGAGAGGGAGGGGGGGCGAGGGGAGGGCACCTGAGAAAGCAGCCGGAGGAACTTGGTGCTTTAGGCAGATAAACATTTTTATTTTTTTAAATTTAATTTAATTTAATTTTTTAAAAAATATATTTTATTGATTTTTTTACAGAGAGGAAGAGAGAGGGATAGAGAGTTAGAAACATCGATCAGCTGCCTCCTGCACACTTCCTACTGGGGATGTGCCCACAACCAAGGTACATGCCCTTGACCAGAATCGAACCTGGGGCCCTTCAGTCCTTAGGCCGACACTCTATCCACTGAGCCAAACCGGTTAGGGCAACATTTTTAAAAAATATATTTTTATTGATATAGAGCAGTGGTTCTCAACCTTCCTAATGCCGCGACCCTTGAATACAGTTCCTCATGTTTTGGTGACCCCCAACCGTAAAATTATTTTCGTTGCTACCTCATAACTGTCATTTTGCTACTGTTATGAATCGTCATGTAAATATATGATATGCAGGATGTATTTTCAGTGTTACAAACTGAACATAATTGAAGCATAGTGATGAATCACAAAAACAATATGTAATGACATATGTGTTTTCCGATGGTCTTAGGTGACCCCTGTGAAAGGGTTGTTCGACCCCCAAAGGGGTCGCGACCCACAGGTTGGCGACCCACGGGTTGAGAACCACTGATATAGAGGAAGGGAGAGGAAGAGAGAGAAACGTCAAGGATGAGAGAGAATCATGGATCGGCTGCCTCCTGCATGACCCCTACTGGGGATGGAGCCCACAACCCGGGCCTGTGCCTTGACCGGAATCGAACCCGGGACCTTTCAGTCCGTAGGCTGACGCTCTATCCACTGAGCCAAACCGGCTAGGGCCAGATAAACATTTTTTAGAAAAATATATTTTTAAAGATTTCAGAGAGGAAGAAAGAGAGAGAGAGAAACATCAATGATGAGAGAGAATCATGGATCAACTGCCTCCTGCACGCCCCCGTACTGGGGATCGAGCCCGCAACCTGGGCATGTGCCCTGACTGGGAATCGAACCGTGACCTCCTGCAGGCTTCATAGGTCAACGCTCAACCACTGAGCCATATCGGCCGGGCTAGGTGCCTGATTTTTTAAAAAGTCACTTTGGAGCAAAAAGGGTAGGCAATTACTATTCTTATTAGTAGTAAATCCATCCAAATTATATGTCCTTTGTCAGATCAGTAAAAAATAGAACCTAGTTTTCGGTGTGCCGCAGAAATTTAGTAACTAGTTTATGTGTGCCAGGAGACGGAAAAGGTTGTCAGTGGCTGCTTTAACACACAGGAGGTGCGTGCGGAGAGCCGCTGTTTGCCGGCTGGCTCTGGAAGGAGCTGTCATGTAGCATCTGCCTTGGGCTTGGACAACTTCAGGAGGGGACAGCTTTGCTGAGCTTTTCCGAGGGACTGTGTGTGTCCTGGGGGGGTGGGGGGTGGGGCATCTGTCCCCATGGAGGTGTGGGGGCAGGGGACTGGGGACTGGGTCTCTCGCCAGCGCCAGCAGGGTCAGGCCCACCCCTCCAAGCCCTCCTCCCTCCCTCCCTCCCCAGGTGTGGTGTTTCCCTACCAGCCCCCCCAGGGGCGTTACCAGCTCAACTTCCAGGAGGCGCAGCAGGCCTGCGAGGCCCAGGAGGCGGCCGTGGCCTCCTTCGAGCAGCTGTTCCGGGCCTGGGAGGAGGGCCTGCACTGGTGCAACGCGGGCTGGCTGCAGGACGCCTCGGTGCAGTACCCCATCACGCTGGCCCGGGGGCCCTGCGGCGGCCTGGGCCTGGCGCCCGGCGTGCGCAGCTACGGGCCCCGCCACCGCCGCTTGCACCGCTATGACGTGTTCTGCTTCGCCGCTGCCCTCAGGGGTGAGTGGGGTGGCCCTGCACAGCCTGTGGGTGGCGGGGAGCAGGGGCACCTCCACCTGGCGAGAATGGCCACAGTGCTGCACCCCTCCCCGTAGCCACTGTGGCTTTGCAGGCACGTGAGTGATCCAGGCCGAACTGCCAACCCGTGGAATCACGAACAAAGTAAATATCTTAAGGCCCTAAGTTTGTGATGATTCAGAAGTTTCCTTGAACCTCATTCAAGTAGTGCTTGGGCAGCAACATAGATTCTGGGAGAAAAGGGATGTGCAGGCTAAGGAATGGCTCCCCAAGACATCCAGGTCCTAACCCCTGAGTGTGGCCTCATATGGCAACATCAGCTTTGCCGATGTGACTACATGAAGGATCTTGAGAAAGGGGGTGTGTGTAGACGGGATTTTCCAGACGAGTCCTAATTGTAATTGCAAGTACTGTATCTTTTTAAAAATTTTAATTGATTTCAGAGAGGAAGGGAGAGGAAGAGAGAAAGATAGAAACATCAATGATGAGAGGGAATCACTGATCGGCTGCCTCCTGCGTGTCCCCCACAGGGGACGGAGCCTGCAACCTGGGCATGTGCCCTTGACCGAAATTGAACCCGGGACCCTTCAGTCCGCAGGCCGACACTCCATCCACTAAGCCAAACCGGCTAGGGTAGTACTGTATCTTTTTTTTAAAAGAAGTATTTTTATTGCCCTAGCCCGGTGGTCGGCAAACCGCGGCTCGCGAGCCACATGCGGCTCTTTGGACCCTTGAGTGTGGCTCTTCCACAAAATACCACGTGCGGGCATGCACGTACAGTGCAATTGAAACTTCATGGCCCATGCGCAGAAGTCGGTATTTTGTAGAAGAGCCACACTCAAGGGGCCAAAGAGCCGCATGTGGCTTGCGAGCCGCGGTTTGCCGAGCCGCAGTTTGCCGACCACGGCCCTAGCCGGTTTGGCTCAGTGGATAGAGCATAGGCCTGCTGACTGAAGGGTCCTGGGTTCAATTCCGGTCAAGGTCACATGCCCAGGTTGTGGGCTCGATCCCCAGTGGGGGTCATGCAGGAGGCAGCTGATCCATGATTCTCTCTCATCATTGATGCTTCTCTCTCTCCCTCTCCCTTCCTCTATATCAATAACAATATATTTAAAAATGTATTGTTATTGATTTCAGAGAGAAAGGGAGAGGAAAAGAGAGAGAGAAACATCGATGATGAGAGTTTGAGGGCTTTGATGCAGCTGCTCACGCCAATCATTTGTTTATTTATTCATCAAGCAGTGCCTGGGTTCCCACAACGGGCTGGGGCCTGGACTAGGCTCTGGGCATCGCAGAGTGGTTTGTTTCATGGGAAGACCTCTGACTCAGCGCCATACCCCAGGCATCTAGAAAAGTGCCTGGCACATAGTAGGTGCTCACTAAACAACTGAGCCAGCGAGAGACTCTGATTAGTCCAGCCCTGGTGGGGTGCCCTCCCAGGGTGCAGTTAGGGTAGCGTTGGGGGAGTATAGATATGACAGGAGGGACCCCAGCCCATAGCAGGTGGGGTGAAGCTCTTAGAGAGAGTGAGGACTGGGCAGGTGCCCCCCAAAATGTCTAAGTAGATGCCCACAGCAACCGAGGTACAAGCCCTTGAGTGGAGCCGAATCCAGGACCCTTCAGTGTGCAGGCCGGCGCTCTAACCACTGAGCAACCGGCTAGGACATTGCCCCCATTTTACAGATGAGGAAACTGTGGCACAGAGTGGTCAGAGCCCATGGAGGCTCCCTGGGCTCAGAGAGTAGACAGATCTTTGGGGTCTGGGTAGTGATGTCTGGACTGGCGGACGGTACTGCAGGTCCGGCTGTCTCCTCCGCTGCCCGGCCCTCACACCCCACTTTCCCACAGGGTGGGTGTACTACCTGGAGCACCCCGAGAAGCTGACACTCTCAGAGGCCAAGGCGGCCTGCCGGGAAGACGGCGCCCAGATCGCCAAGGTGGGCCAGCTCTTTGCCGCCTGGAAGTTCCGCGGCCTGGACCGCTGCGATGCCGGCTGGCTGGCAGATGGCAGCGCCCGCTACCCCGTGGCTCACCCACGTCCCACCTGCGGGCCCCTGGAGCCCGGGGTCCGAAGCTTCGGCTTCCCAGACCCGCAGAGCCGCAAGTATGGAGTCTACTGTTACCGTCCTCCTCACTAGAGCCGGCCACAGCTCTGTGCCTGCCTGGCCCTTCCCCCCAACCCCTCACGGCTGTATTTACTAAATGGATCATGTTCCCTATTGCTTTTATACTTCTCAACTTAAATAAAAATATATATATATTTTTATTGATTTCAGAGAGGAAGAGAGAGAGAGAGAGAGAAACATCAATGATTAGAGAGAATTATGGATCGGCTGCCTCCTGCATGCCCCCTACTGGGGACCCAGCCTGCAACCCAGGCATGTGCCCCGACCGGGAATCGAGCCAGTGACCTCCTGGTTCCTCAGTCAACACTCAACCAACTGAGCCACACTGGCTGGGCTCAACTTAAATTAAAAAATAAAAATTACTGTTTTTGTAAAGCCAACAGATCCCCAATCCTCCCTTTGCTCAGGTGGACACCCCAAGGCTCCTGTACCCCTTTTCTCTGGGACATTTGAGGTCTGTGGCTCATGAGGACTCTGATGCCCAGAGTGGACAGTGACACGGGGACCAGGGCATGGTGGCTGCCGCTCTCCCTCCGCCTCAGCCTGGGGGTTGGGGGGGGCACCCAGGGGCTCTGAGCTGGGCTTTGACCCTTGCAGCCTCCTGTCCCTGTGAGGGGCTAGGGCTGGACGGGGCCCCAGGCTCCTGAGTGAGGTCCCAGGGAAGGGAGAGATGCCCCTCCACCCCGCTTCCCCTCTCTCAGTTCAGAGTCTGTGTTTTGTTCTCATTTCCCCCCAATTTGGTGTGTGTGTGTGTTTTAAATATATTTTATTGATTTTTTTACAGAGAGGAAGGGAGAGGGATAGAGAGTTAGAAACATCGATGAGAGAGTAACATCGATCAGCTGCCTCCTGTACATCTCCTACTGGTGATGTGCCCACAACCAAGGTACATGCCCTTGACCGGACTCGAACCCGGGACCCTTCAGTCCGCAGGCTGACGCTCTATCCACTGAGCTAAACCGGTTGGGGCTGGTGTGTGTCTGTGTGTGTTTTTTGGGACAATGAATGGTGCTGACCCCCTCCTCCAGCCCAGCCCTCCTCTGTCCCGCTCTGCATCACGGTCTATGCGTTCCACCAACCGGCTCCTCCATGGGAGCAAAGTGTGACATCGAAGGACCAACTATGGGCCCGGCCGGTGTGGCTCAGTGGTTGAGCGTCAGCCTATGAACCAGGAGGTCACAGTTCGATTCCCTATCAGGGCACATGTCCAGGTTGGGGACTTGATCCCCTGTGGGGGGTGTGCAGGAGGCAGCAGATCCATGATTCTCTCTCATCATAGATGTTTTTCTCTTTCCCTCTCCCTTCCTCTCTGAAATCAATAAAAAATAAAAATAAATCATTTAAAAAGAAAAATAGGACCCTCTCTCTCTCTCTCTCTCTCTCTCTCTCCATCCACTCACCTGTACTCTTGGAAAATTAAAGCACAGCAGGGCAACTGTCCCAGGCTCTCTGAACAGATAGGATTCCCACCCATTTGGGGTTATTTATTTTTTAAAAATATATTTTATTGATTTTTTACAGAGAGGAAGGGAGAGGGATAGAGAGTTAGAAACATCGTTGAGAGAAGCATCCATCAGCTGCCTCCTGCACACCCCCTACTGGGGATGTGCCCACAACCAAGGTACATGCCCTTGACCGGAATCGAATCTGGGACCCTTCAGTCCTCAGGCCGACGCTCTATCCACTGAGCCAAACCGGTTAGGGCCCATTTGGGGTTCTTTGATCAAAACCTGTCCCCACGACCACCCGTCCTAAGGCCCCCTTCCGTAGACCCTAGACCACGGTTACCTCTTTAAATTTTAAAAAAAAAAAGAAGGGAAAAGAAATAGATCTCTTCCAATGTCTTTATTATTATAATTATCATAATCTTCAATTTTCAAAAATATAAATAGGTGCGCGGAACCCTGGTGCCTGCACGGTCCCGGGGGGGTGGGGGAGGGAGGGGGAGGGGCGGGGGCGCTCCCACTGGGAAGGAGGTGCCCCCACCCAGCCCTGCCGAGAGAGATGACACCTGCTAGGGTGGCAGACCAGGTGAGGGGACGCCAGACTGACGGACAGAAGAGGGACCCTTGGAGGGAACCTGACCCCCACGCAGCGGAAGGCTCCTGGCGGGCTCCCCGCAGGTACATTCAACTGTGGCTCTGGGTTCTTCATGCCCTGGGCCTCTGCCCCTCCAGCTCCCCCTGCCCCTCCTCCCTCCTCCCTAGCTCTCCCTGGAGGTCAAAGAACCAACGATTGCACTGCTCTTGGATAAAGTCAGCAAACAAAAAATAATCTTCTTTATTTAACTTAACCCCTCCCTGCTCCCTGTCCCTGCACTGGTCCCCGGAAAGGCACAACGGGAGGATAAAGAAATGTCCACGGGTTACAATACGTCTGCTTTGCTTTGGCATTTTTTTTTTGGGGGGGGGGAGTCAAATGCGTTTTTTTTGGCCGTTGGGGGGTGGGTGGGGGTGCATACACACTGTGGGATTTCCTTTCTTCCTTCTTTAATGGGATTCCTTATATGGCAGAAAGCGACAAGAGGACACCGTCTGAGGGGGCGCGTCAGCCTGCAAGGCTCTGGGCTCAGCATCCTGGGCTCGGCCTGGGGCTCCTCTCAGTGGGCCGTGCTGGGGTGGCTCCTCCGTGGGGCCCGGGAGCTCCGCTTCTGTAGTCTGCGCTTGTAGGTGGCGGCTGGGGGAAGGGAGAGGGGACAGTCTTGGTGAACCCCCGGGTGGGGGGAGGAGGGGGGAAGGGGCCCAGCCCAGCCCCTCCCTGGCCAGCCTGCCCACTCCCTGCAGAAACCCAGGCTAGTGAAGGCAGCCTGAGGTTTTTTCTACTTTCTGAGCTTTCTTTTTCTTTTTCTAAAAAATATATTTTTATTGATTTCAGAGAGAAAGGGAGAGGGAGAAAGAGATAGAAACATCAATGATGAGAGAGCATCATGGATTGGCTGCCTCCTGCACACCCCCTACTGGGGATTGAGCCCAAACCTGGGCATGTGCCCTGACCGGGAATCGAACCCAGTACCCTTCAGTCTGCAGGCCAGTGCTCTACCCACTGAGCTAAACCAGCTAGGGCCCTTCTGAGTTTTCTTTTTGTAAAAAATATATATAGTTATTGATTTCAGAGAGGAAAGGAGAGAGAGAGAGAAACATCAATGATGAGAATCATTAATAGGCTGCCTCCTGCACGCCCCCTACTGGGGATCGAGCCTACAACCCGGAATGTGCCCTGACCTGGAATCGAACCCGGTACCCTTCAGTCCGAAGGCCGATGCTCTACCCACTGAGCCAAACCAGCTAGGGCCCTTCTGAGTTTCCTTGAACCAACTTGGGCTAAGGGGCTTTGGCTGGGGTTGAAAAGGGGAGCAGGCTGCCTGCTTTCTCCTCTGTCCCTGGGGCTGGGGGGCGAGGGGGGGCAGGGACAGGTGACCTTGCCCACAGATGGTGCTGCCCGTGAGGGTATGGGGTCCCCAGGAGAGGGCCAGCACCTTGGTGCTCCGGGGCCAGGAAGGGGGACCCGGGGGTGGGCTGCAGCGCGGTGCCCAGCCGGGGGCGGGAGGGGCGGCGCTCACGGTCTGTGCAGGTGATCCGAGGCTCCTCCCATTGCCCGCTGGGCAGGCACCGGATGGTGGGCAGGTGGCGCTGGACGAAGCCCTCGGCGCACTGGTACCGCACCAGCGCGTTGATCTCGTAGCGGTCCTTCTTCTGGCCGAACGTCCTGGCGTGCTCCACCACGGGGGGCTCTCCGCAGGCCACTGGGGGGCAAACACCCGTCAGAGGGGGACCTCAGGTTTTTGTTAAATCTTTATTGTTGGAAGTATTACATATGTCCCCCTTTTCCCCCCATCGACCCCCTCCAGCCCCCTCCCCCCCACTCCTCACGGCCCCATTGTCTGTGTCCATGGGTTATGCATCTATGCATCCAAATTCTTGGATTGATTACCTCCTACCCACCCTCCCTCGCCTGCCTTCCCTCTGAGATTCCGCCCTCTGTTCCATGCTTCCATGTCTCTGGATCCCCTCGGTTCATCAGTTTATTTTGCTAATTAGATTCCTCGCACGTGTGAGATCACGGGAAACTTGGCTGTCTCTGACTGGCTTGTTTCACTTAGCGTGATACCCTCCAGGTCTTAGGGGGGCTCTAGCGAAGACCCCCGCCCACAATGAGCCAGCGTGGTCCCCTCTGGCTGTGACGAGACAGCCCGGAGCCCACGGCACGTGGCAGGGGCGTGGAGCCCGCACACCCAGCCTCGAACCCGGAATTGACCCTCTCTGCTAAGGGTGTTTTCATGCAGCGCTCAGAATCTGACCATCTGGGCTTCCCCGGTGGTTTAGAGCGAGCAGGGAGGGAATAAAAGGAGGGTCTTCAGGGGACGAGGAGAAGACGGAGGGTGGGAGAAAGGGAGAGGAAGAGGGTGAGAGCCGGCAGATCGGCTGGAGCTGTTCATGAAATCATCCTAGTGCCGGGAAAGTGGGGCCGAAACGTTCCCTAGCAGTGGACTCGCTCCTGCCGTTGGCTCTGGGAGGCTGATGCGGGGAGTGGCCCCCAGGACAGTTCCAATCTGGCTGGTGGCGATGAGGTGACAGCAGCAGCCAAGACACAAGGACCCTAAAGTCTTTTTGTTGTCGTTAATCCTCACCTGAGGATATTTTCCCATTGATTTTTAGAGAGAGTGAGAAGGACGGGGAGACACACAGAGAGAGAAACATCGATGTGAGAGAGACACATCGACTGGCTGCCTCCTAAACGCGCCTCGACCAGGCCTGGGGATGGAGGCACCGAGGTCCGCGCCCTTGACCGGAATCGAACCCGGGACCCTTCAGTCTGCAGGCTGACGCTCTATCTACGGAGCCAAACCGGCCAGGGCTGGACCCTGAAGTCCTGCTTCCTCCCGCCTGGGCCCTCTCAGGCCGGCTTACCTGTGCCCTTCTTACACGTGAAGGGCAGGTGGTAATTGCAGGGCACGTCGTTCCACTCGCCCTTCTCATGCCAGATCATCACCACGCAGTCCTCTCCGGAGGCAAAGAAGTTGTCGGGCTGGTTGGGGCGCCAGTTCTCAAATTGCTGTGGGTGGGAGCGGGGCAGGGGTGAGGCGGGCACAGGAGCCATGTGGCTTGTCTGGCCTGACCCGCCCTTTCTCTCCCATCATGCCCCAGCGGCCTCTCCTCTCTCTCTCTCTCTCTCTCTTCTTGTTAATCCTCACCCGAGGATATTTTTTCCATTGATTTTTAGAGAGAGCGGAAGGGAGGGGGAGACACAGAGAAACATTGATGTGAGAGAGACACATAGATTGGTTGCCTCCTGCACGTGTACCGACCAGGGCCCACACCACCTAGGAAGAGCCTGCAACCAAAGTACATGCCCTTGACTGGAATCGAACCCAGGACCCTTTGGTCCACAGGCTGATGCTCCATCCACTGAGCCAAACTTGCTAGGGCTTTAAAAAAAAAAATTATATATATATTGATTTCAGAGAGGAAGGGAGAGGGAGAGAGGGACAGAAACATCAATGAGAGAATCATGGATCGCTGCCTCCTGCATTCCCCCTCCTGGGGTTCGAGCCTGCAACCCGGCATGTGCCCTGACCGGGGATCGAACCGTGACCCCCTGGTTCATAGGTTGACGCTCAACCACTGAGCCACACCAGCCGGGCCGGGAAGCCTTCTGGGACGCAGGAGCAACTTGAGCTCCTAGAGACAGAGCATTTACTATGTGTGTTGTTCATTAGGTGACTATGGCGTGCTGTCTGTCTGTGTCTTGGAGTCTACGCCAGTCCTTCGTGGGCCCAGGCGCCCTCTAAAGCTTCCGTACGTCTCTCAGGGTGCTTTGCCTTCATTCACTCATTGCGACCTCCTTTCCCTCCTTCCCTCACGGGGTCATTCGCGAGATGAGAGAGACCCCCGCCCCGCCCCTCCCCCGCCCACCCCCCTCCCGCCCTGAGTGCCTGGAGCGGCAGCTGCTCTGGATGTGGCTGGAATGTCTCTCTCTGGTGTCTCTATGCCCCTCCTTGGGGTCGCCCACTCTGCCCGCGACCCCACTCTTGCAGGGGCCCCTGGCAGAACTCACCAGGGAGTGTCCATCTGACCAGCGGAAGTCCCCTTCGATGCTCCTGTCGTTCAGGCCGATCCACTGGTAGTTTTGAGCATTGTCTGCAGAGAGGACGCGGGTGTTGGGGTGGAAACACCCTGGGGATGTCTCAGACACTGGAGCTCACAGAGGCGGAGAAGATGGGGGTGGCGGGAGGGGGGTGCGCTCCGAGGAGCACGCCACCCGCTTCTGAGGTCCGGACAGGGGCACGTGCGTGATGGGAGTGCCTGCGCCCACCGCCCCCAGCTGGCACAGGCTGGTGACAGCCACAGGGTTACTCTGGGGCTGACTTATTATTATTATTATTATTATTATTATTATTATATATTTTATTGATTTTTTACAGGGAGGAAGGGAGAGGCATAGAGAGTTAGAAACATCGATGAGAGAGAAACATCAATCAGCTGCCTCCTGTACACCCCCTACTGGGAATGTGCCCGCAACCCAGGTACATGTCCTTGACCGGAATCGACCCTGGGACCCTTCAGTCCGCAGGCCGGTGCTCTATCCACTGAGCCACACCGGCCAGGGCAGGGGGTTCATTCTGATAGATGCTGGGCTGTCCTGGGTGCAGCAGGAGCCACTGGCCCCAAAGACCCCTCTCTTCTCTCTCAGGCTGAGGGAAGCCCTTCCTGCCCTCCCTGCCCCACCCCTGCAGCCTCGCTGGGTCCCAGTCTGCCGGCTTCCAGTTCCCCTCCGCCTTGAGACCCCACCGCACTCACTGTTGACGAACTCCTGCTCCTCGGGGGTGAGGATGCTGCTCAGGTGGGACTGGTGCTTCCGGCAGCGGCTCTCGGCGTCCACCCAGCTCTCGCGCTCCGGGAAGTGGCGGTAGCAGTGGCCCTGGAACTTGGTCCAGCCCTCCTCGCACAGCGCCTGGTCTGCAACACAAGTGGGGGGGGGGTGGCTTGACGGGAGGGGCCTAGGCCGCCAGCCTCATGGCACAGACTCCTGTGTTCGCCCTGCCTTCCATATCACCCCCTCCAACGAGGGGGAGGCCCAGCTGGGTGGGGCTCAGGGTGGAAGCCAGGGAGGCCTGGCCCTGGCCCCTGGGCCCTGGGTGCAGGTTCCCACCCTCAGAGAAAAGCCCGGGATCCTTCCCTCTCTCGGCTCCTCCTCCTCCCCCAACCTCCCCAGCTTCTCTCCTGTCTCTGCCTGCTCTGGGGGAGGTGGGAAGGTGGGAGGCGGGAAGCTTTGAGGCTCTGAGGGTCTCTAGGGAGAGAGGGGATTGCGGGGAGGGTGTGAAGGCGGCAGCAGCAGGAGGCAGAGCTGGGGGCAGGAAGGACCCTGGGGTGGGGACAGAGGAGCAGAAATAAGTGCTTTGCGTCCAAAGAGGACGCAGAGCTGCAAGTCTGTCTGTCCATCCGTCCGAGCTGGCTCTGTTCAGTGCACCGTGTCTCCCTCTTAAAGGGCCAAGCAGCCAAGACGGGGGTCCTAGCTTTTGATTTTCTCTCGGTGGCAGGTGAGGAGCGGGGAGGAGCGTCCCTCCCCACAAAGCTCTATGGGTCACGGGTTCTGAGTTCGGAGGAGGGGCTGGGCATGGGGCTCCTGGTGCAGGAGTGGAGCTCCCGGGGCAGCCTGGGGGGACAGCCAGGCGGGGGCGGGGGGGGGGGGGGAGGCTCTCAGGCATGGGTGGGAGGGTCCTGATGTGTGCGTCTTCCCAACTCTGCCTCCGGCCATCACAGCGGCATCTTGCAATGGGCCCGGTGGGAGCATGCTCCCTCGGAAACGGGCGGCTGCTGCACGTGAGGGCTCCCCCTTCGGCTCCGAGAGCCCAGCCGGCTGTTAAACATTTGTGGGCACAGCGCTGGGCGGAGGGAATTCCCAGACCCCTTCTTTCCTTCTGCCCGGGGGGACCCCCCAGGCACAGGTGCCCCAGGGCCCTGGGCAGCCTCCCAGGGGGAGAGGACCAGTTGGGAGGGGAAGGAACTCGGGCTGGAGGGGTGCAGGCGTGGCCAATGGGTGGAACGGGGAGAGTGGGAGGCCAGCAGGCTGAGAGGAAAGAGGCAGAGCAGCAGGGGGGCCCAGGAGGGTGCTGCTGCTCCCAAGGGCAATGCCTTTGGGCAAAGGTCTGGAAAGAAGGCGGGAGGCCTCAGAGCTGGTGCGGCACCCAGGCCACCCCAGGGCTGGCTGTGCGGTCCATTCTTGGGCCACCTCAGTGTCTGAGGGCCCAGCTGGAGCAGGCAGCTGCTGCGGGAGAGCCAGGGCCATGCATGCAGGATGGAGGCCTGGGGCGGGGAGGGGGAGGAGGAAGTAGCCACAGTGTTGCAGGGGAGCTGGGAGTGGGAGAAGCAGGGGGACCAGAGCCCAGGCAGGAGGGCCTGGGGGTGATGCGAGCTCAGGATGGGACGGGAGAGGAGACGCAGCCCTGCTTAGCTGGGTGCCCGTGCCCAGGGCCCAGCAGGGCGGCTCTGGCTCCATCCAATGTCCTGTCAGGGCCCCGCCTCCACGCCCACAGGACATCCCCACTCCCAGCCTGGTGCCCGGGAGCTGTGGTCCGTACGGACCTTCCAGACCCTTCTCTCCCATGACAAATATGTTGCCATCCTGTGGAGAAAATGCTTATACCTCTATCCTCCCACCCCAGCCAGGACCCCATGCACCGAAGTCTTGGGGACTTGGGGTGAGAGTGGAGGATGGGAGGCTGCAGGGAGGAGGAGGAGGAGCACTTGGGCCTTTGCTTGCATGTGCCTGAAGTTCCCCCGCCAGCCTGTGACCTTGGCAATGCCTCCAGGAACATGCGATCCTCCTGCCTCCCACACTGCTTAGGACCAAAGGGGGACTGCCCAGGAGTTCCCACTGCTTTCTGCAAGTTTCTGGGATGTCCAGCCTGAGACTGCATTACAAGTGGTTTTTGCCCAGCTGGCGTGGCTCAGTGGTTGGGCGTCGACCTATGAACCGGGAGGTTACTGCTCGATTCCCGGTCAAGGGCACATGCCCGGGTTGCAGGCTTAATCCCCAGTAGGGGCATGCAGGAGGCAGCCGAACCATGATTCTCTCTCATCATTGGTGTTTCTCTCTCTCTCTCCCTCTCCCTTCCTCTCTGAAATCAATAAAAATATGTTAGAAAAGATGGTTTTGCCCTAACCGGTTTGGCTCAGTGGATAGAGCGTCGGCCTGCGGACTGAAGGGTCCCAGGTTCGATTCCGGTCAAAGGCATGTACCTTGGTTGCGGGCACATCCCCAGTAGGGGGCGTGCAGGAGGCAGCTGGTCGCTGTTTCTCTCTCATCGATGTTTTTAACTCTCTATTCCTCTCCCTTCCTCTCTGTAAAAAATCAATAAAATATATTTAAAAAAATAAAAATAAATAAAAAAGATGGTTTTAAGCCCCTGAACACTTCCAGTTCTCTATGGGCTGTTGCTACTAGCAACCGTAATTCTTATCTCCCCCATTCTGAGCTGGGATGGCCCTGAGAGCCAGGACATGAGGCTCCTGGTGAGGGAGCGGGGGGCTCGGCCTGGCATGCGCCGCTGCCCTGGGAGAGCCTGGCTCAGGTGCAGAAGCAGAGGGACAGGCAAGGCCCAAGAGATGAAACTCAGTCCTTGCCCTTTGCACTGAGGCCCTGTTCTCTCTAGCCAGCCCTCCGCCTTGCACGGGGGAGGGAGAAAGGAAGTGTGGGCCGGAGTGGCATTGTCATGGCATCGGTCACCCTGGTGAAGAGGAGAGGGTGACAGGCAGCCGTCCCTGTCACCATGCATGACCGGGGCATGCGGGTGACGCGGGAGCTCTCAGGCAGGCAAACCGCAGCTCTGGCCAGAGAAGAAGGGGAAGGCAGCTTGGCCTGGGAGGCACAGTGGCTCCCAGTGCCATGGAGGGTGCCGCCGAGGTCCCACGGGCCACAAGCAGCAGACGCACGCTCATGCCCGTGCCCAGGCGAGGAAGGTCCCTGGCTGTCAACCCGAGTGAGAGTCAGTTACTCCCGCCCACGGCTTCCTTCAAGGCCAACACGCAGAGTCTGCTCTGTCCTCTTAGTCTGATGCGTGCACTGCCCTTGACGGTGCATCACCGTGGGCCTGGAGGCCCTGAGGAGGTTAGTGTTTTATTTACTTATTATTTATTTAAAACATATTTTTATTGCTTTCAGAGAGGAAGGGAGAGGGGGAGAGAGAGAGAGAGAGAGAAACATCAACGATGAGAGAGAATCATTGATCGGCTGCCTCCTGCATGCCGCCTACCGGGGATCGAGCCTGCAACCCGGGCATGTGTCCCTGCCCGGAATGGAACCTGGGACCCTTCAGTCCGCAGGCTGACGCTCTATCCACTGAGCCAAACCAACTAGGAAAAGATTAGTGTTTTAAAGGTCTCCCAGAGCCCAGCCAGCATGGCTCAGTGGCTGAGTGTTGACCTATAAACCAGGAGGTCACGGTTCGATTCCCGATCAGGGCACATGCCCAGGGTAGCAGGCTTGATCCCTAGTGTGGGGCGTGCAAGAGGCAGCTGATCCATGATTCTCTCACCATTGATGTTTCTCTCTCTCTCTCCCTCTCCCTTCCTCTCTGAAATCAACAAAAATATATTAAAATAGCCCGGCCGGTATGGCTCAGTGGTTGAGCGTCATCCTGTGAACCAGGAGGTCACGGTTCAATTCCCGGTCAGGGCACATGCCCGGGTGGCAGGCTCGATCCCCAATGTGGGGCGTGCAGGAGGCAGCCGATGAATGACTCTCTCTCACCACTGATGTTTCTCTCTCTCTCTCCCTTCCTCTCTGAAATAAAAATACATTAAAATAAAATATAGGTCACCCAGAGCCCCACATTCCAAAGTGCCGGCTGGCCCGGCCTGCACATCTCCCCTATTCTTAGATCAGCCACTGCCCCAGAGGTGGGACAGCAACAGAAGGAGTGGCAGTGAGTCGGGTGGACTTCTCTCTGGATGGACCGCGGGGGGCCCCCGGCCAGGGCCCGGAGCCTGTGGTTAGCAGGGGAGGGTGAGGGAGGAGGAGGGGGTGCAGCGGTTAGCAACATTAGCTGAAGCCGAGACGGCCGGCCGTACCGATCTCACACAGGTCCCCTCGGTAGCTGGGAAGGCATAAGCATGTGAAAGAGTCGATGGCGTCCACGCAGGTGGCTCCATTCACACAAGGGCTTGAGAGGCACTCATCAATGTCTGCAAGAAACCAAGGGCCACCATTAGGACGCCCGCCGGCGACGCGGCTTCGCGAGCACTGCGGCCTCGTTCCGGGTGGCCGGCCCTGCGGCTCTCCTGAGCCCTGGGAGGGGTGGCTGGGTTTCCTGAGAACTGTTGCTGCTGCTGCTGCTGCTGCCGCCGCCGCCATCCTGGAGCTGAGCCGAAGATGCAGCGAGGGGTCTCCTGGATGCATGTGGTTCTTGATCGGCAAGCTGAGTGAGCGTGGGGCCCGATTTCCAAGTGCGTGAGAGAGGTGGTGCTTTGAAAGCCAAATGCCTATTGGGGAGGGTGAGCGCGGAGTACCTCCAAGATGCCTTCTCTTGAGACTATTTCAAAAAGCTGTGGGGCCCGGCAGGCGTGGCTCAGTGGTTGAGCGTCGACCTATGAACCAGGAGGTCACGGTTCGATTCCCGGTCAGGGCACATGCCCGGGTTCTAGGCTCAATCCCCAGTATGGGGCGTGCAGGAGGCAGCCGATCCATGATTCTCTCTCATCACTGATGTTTCTCTCCCTCCCTCTCCCTTTCCTAAAATTAATAATAAAAAAAGAAGCCATGGGGGTCTGACGTGGCGTTGAGCAAGGACGTTGAAGGTCAAGTTCTTGAAGCTTGGCTAAGCTCTTCCTTTTTCCTCGCTTCCTCTGTAGCTGTGCGCCAGGGGCGGAAGGCAAGGCCATGCAACGCTCGAGTGAATAAAAAGGTCTGCAGAGTAGGAAACGATGAAAAAATGGCAGGATGGGACGTGTGCCTGGGAACCAGGAACATCTGTGGGTTGCGGACACCGTTCTTGTCTTCAGTAAATAAGTTTTTGGAGCATCTTCTGAAGATGAAGCCAGCATTGTTCTCTTGGGGTGGGGTGGGGGGGTGAGCCAGAAACCCAGCCCAACCCTCCCCTAGGCGATCTTGTTTGTGCCTAAGGATTCCGATGACGTGGACAACTCCAGTGAGTCACAACTTCAGAGGGGGTCCCTCCTGGCCGGTGGGAGACCCGTGTTTGAAGCCGGTCGGCGAGGCACTTAGTAAGTAGGTGGCCGCCCACCAACACCAGCCGGTGGGACACAGGCAGGTCGCCATCAGCCTTGCCTTCCCAGGCCCTCTCTTCCCTTCCGTTCTTCCAGTCCAAGATGTTCTTTCTGACCCCACTTCTTTGCAGGACTTGAATCGGTATGGCCTTTGCATCGAGGTTTTCTCCACTGGCCGAGGTGAGCACTGCATCTCCTAATCTCGTCTGTCTGTCTTTTCCTGCTGGTTCTTTCCTGGGCGACTTCCCCTGGGAACATGTTGCAAGGGACTGCAAAGCTCCTCTTGCCAGGAGATCAATGAAAGTCTGCGATGAATGGGTTCCGCGGGCTCAGGGGGCACCCGGATACGTGGTTCAGCCTGGGTATGTGCGTCTGTGCTACAACCTTCAGGACCCGACGTGTCTAGGGGGGCCTCTCACAAGGGCAGACAACACCTGACAGTCCTCTGATTAGAAGGCAAACGCACTTTCTTCTGGACCCTTCTCCGTGCCGCCTAGACGAGGGTTGGGTCTGTGCAGCGAATGGGTGGCCTGCGGGCGTCTGCCTCTTCCCGCGAACTTCTTAACTTCACGTCGGAGGAGTGCAGGCCGCGGACTAGGCACCGACAGTTCCGAGTCTGGAACTGTTCCAAGCAAAACCCAAATGCATGAGGGACGGACTGCAATCCCAGCATGCACTTGGGTTCCCAGCAGCAGCAGGAGCAGCAATAGGTCAGGCTGGTGGGCCGGCGGAAGCTGGGGGTGACCCCTCTCCTCTGTCCAGTAGCGGCGTCATTGCGGGAGACGGGGAGCACTGGGCGAGGGGGGGGGGATGAAGCAAATGTAGGCGCTAAAGCAGTTGTACAGAGCGGGGTGGGGGGGGTCAGGGGGGGCCTGTGGGCGGAGGAGCCAGATGTCAGCCCTGGGGCCTGTGCCCAGACCAGGAGGAGAGGGCGGGAGGGGCAGAGGCCCCGGGAGGTCCGGCCAGGTGGCTTCCAGGTGTTCCAGCAGCTTCTATCACCCCGCCCCCCACTCCCCCTCGACACTATGGCCTGAGGTTTCAGGGAGCAGTTTTGTTTTGTCTTCTGTGTGTGGCCAGGATACATCTGAGAAAGTTGGGGGGACGAAGGGGGCTGTACAACTCAAGGAGCCGGTTCCAGGGCTCAGAGGGTCTTGTGCAAGGCCCCTGGGTTCACACACGAGGAGGGAAGGAAGGGCGACCGTCCTGGAGTCCAGACAGCCTGTGGGTGTCTTGGGGGGTTCAGGGAGGCTTCGAGTCAGCATCCCGAGCAGGATGAAGAGGGCTGATGGCCCCGGATGGGGCTTTTTACAGCCGCCCTGGCCCTGCATGGCCACATCTTTCCGTGAAGGACAGTCAGGACACTGCTCATCTTCTGGAACCATGAGAAGGAGTGGGGCCGGCCCCGCTGTGAGCGAGCGCAGAGAGGGGACCCCAGACAAGGTGGCGGCAGGTGGGGACGGGGAGGGCTGTGGGCATCGGGCAGATGACATGAAGGAAGAGAGGAAAGAGAGGGACCCACGATGTCTCAGGAATCTCCCCTGAGCCACATGCTACGTCTCACACACATGATCCCCCCAACAGGCCTGTGGCAGGAAGGTCACTGTGCCATGCGACCAGGTAAGGAAACAGGTGAAGTGACCAAGCTACTCACAAAGCTGACTGGGAAGAAAGCCTTTTTAAAAGACATGGTCAGAGCCCAGCCAGTGTGGCTAAGGGGGTAGAGCATTGACCTATGAACCAGGAGGTCACGGGCCGATTCCCGGTCAGGGCACATGCCTGGGTGGTGGGCTCCATCCCCAGTCGGGGGCGTGCAGGAGGCAGCCCATCCATGATTCTCTCTCATCATTGATGTTTCTATTGCTCCCTTCTCTCTCTCTCTCTTTCTCTCTCTCTCTCTCTCTCTCTCGTCCTCTCTGAAATCAATTGAAAATATATATAAAAAAATAAAAGACGTGATTAGAGAAAGGCTGTCCTTACATGAGGTTAGTTAAGGTCCACTGTCACCTATTTCTAATGTCAGGGGCTCGGGGACGCGTGCTGTGACTTCTGATACCAGGGTCACACTTTTGCTTTCAGTATCAGGTTGGGGAAGGGGCTGCTAAGAATGAGCTGCTGGATCACACCTGACCTGAAGCCAGCCGTGAATCCCGGAGCTCGGGGACAAGCTCTGCGTCATTTCCTGCAGGGCACGACGGGGACCCAAACCCCACCCAGACCCATGCACGCAGGGACTTTCGTCGGAGAGGTCTGCCCTCCATGATGCACAATAGCCCTTCTGAGTGTCCCCACAGGGACCGTGGGGCGTGACCGGCGATCCCCAACACACACCCTCCTTCAGCATTTCTTTGAAGTCTCAACTTTTATCTTCAAAATTCAAGCACATGCCCTAGCTGGTTTGGCTCAGCGGATAGAGCATTGGACTGAGGACTGAAGGGTCCCGGATTCGATTCCGGTCAAGGGCACATGCCTGGGTTGCAAGCCCCATCCCCAGTGTGAGGCATGCAGGAGGCAGCCAGTTAATGATTCTCTTGCATCATTGATGTTTTTTTCCTCTCTCTCTCCCTCTCCCTTCCTCTCTAAAATCAATAAAAATATATTTTAATAGGAAAAAAACAATTCAAGTATATTTCGCATTCCACACCTCAAACCACCATCAGCTACACTAACTACTTCTCTGTTTCGTTACTTAGCTTGACTTTTTCCTCCTAAACCGCCATGTAGAACAGATGCCCTAGAACAGTGATGGCGACCTTTTTGAGCTCGGCGTGTCAGCATTTTGAAAAACCCTAACTTAACTCTGGTGCCGTGTCACATATAGAAATTTTTTGATATTTGCAACCATAGTAAAACAAAGACTTATATTTTTGATATTTATTTTATATATTTAAATGCTATTTAACAAAGAAAAATCAACCAAAAAAATGAGTTCGCATGTCACCTCTGACACGTGTGTCATAGGTTCACCATCACTGCCCTAGAAAGACGTGGCTTCTAGTCCCAGGTAGTCTGAGCAGCCTGAGGCCCAGGTGACCTCGGTGGTCCCCACCCTCCCCTGCCTGCATCCATGAGGGCCTTACCTACATCACAGTGCTCGCCAGTGTGGCCAGGGGGGCACAGGCATAGCACGTGTCCCTCCGTCTCCTGGCAGGTCCCAGGGCCATAGGGATCCTCGCCGCAGGACCTGGCTCGGGCTGCACCCCCCGGGGAGAGGCTAAGCACACAGCAGCCGGCCGCCTGGGGTGCGGCGCAGCCTCCCAGACCCCCAGGTTGGGGCACGAAGTCCCGTAAGCTCACGAGGCTGATTTGGGGTCAGCGTGTTTCTGGGGCGCCTCCTGGACACCTGGCCCTGGTACCCGGGGCCTGGGCACACAGCGATGTGCAAGGGACCCCAGAACAAAAGTCAGGGAAAGGCCCAGCTGCTGGTGCCCGGTGCTGGGATGCTGCTAAGGTGTGACAGTCACTACAGTCCAGAGGAGTCCCTTGGACTGGGGTCGGGGTGGGGACCCCGGGGCTCAAGTCAGGACTCAGCCCAAATGATACCTCGTCATTCCTTAAATTGTGCTGGTTTGAACCCTGCACAAAAGTAAATATTTGGGGATAAAGGCCACCAGGAGGTTCATTCTCTCATCCTATACTCACTCATGAAAAGGGGCCAGGAGCACAATTTCCAGCATTATTCAATAAACTTGCTTTATTGAGGCCTGCGGCCTGCCAGCCGCGAGTTTGACATGCTTGACCCATAGTCATCGTCCCTCTCTCTGTGCCAAAGACAAATAATCAGGTTCACACATCAATGTTCTCAAGATGGAACTTAATGGTAACCATCACTAATCTTTTTTTGTTGTTGCTAATCCTCACTGGAGGATATTTTCCCATTGATTTTTAGAGAGAGTAGGAGGGAGAGAGAGACACACACACAGAGAGAAACATCGATGTGAGAGAGACACATCAATTGGTTGCCTCTGCACATGCTCCAACCAGGGCCGGAGATCAAGCCTGCAACCGAGGTACATGCCCTTGACCAGAATTGAACCTGGGACCCTTCAGTCCGCAGGCCGGCGCTCTATCCACTGAGCCAAACTGGCCAGGGCACAATCACTGATCTCTATGAGTGTGTCCTGTGTGCCTACTCGGATGCTCAGCGCTCATTTTATACAGACAGTCTTCGGGTTACGTCGTACGTCGTTTTGTGGTTACGTCGCCATCTCCCATTTATTTATAAAAAAAAAGTTCCGTCATTTCGACGTCTGTACATATGTGCTTTATGTTTCTTATTATTTATTTACCACCAGTAAAGGTCAAGAATTGTTATCTTTCTTAAAAAATGTTTTTTTTTTACTGTTTTACTTCATGACTGCTGTCTATGTGCTCCCTGTGAGCGACGAAGGTGCTTATGTAGGTGGGTTCCGACCTACGACGAAAATCGCGTTACGTCGCGCCGTAGGAATGGATCTCCGACGTGACCCGAGGAGCTGCTGTATATATTTACATGCTGTTTAATCTTCCCTGGTCCTATTCCCATTTCCCGGGGGAGGCTCAGAGAGGTTAAGAAACTTGCCTGAGGCTGCACAGCTCATCTCTGGGGGAGCTGTGCTCAGAGACTTGAATCTACACCGCCTCCCACTCTGCTACCCTCTGAACTAGCCGAACACATGGAAAGGAAAAAGAGATGTCAGCCATACCTGTAGTGGTGGCCTCCAATCCTTCAGTCCCTTCTGCCGGAGCTGGGATGGAAGAAGCGTCCGTTGGGAAGACGGCAGTTTCGGCCGTTTGGGCCTCTTCTCCCGAATGCACGAGGCTTGAGGACTCCACTTCCAGATTCGCCTCTGCAGGGCGCTGGGGCTGCTGGGTCCATTCAAACTCCGGGACGCTGGTGCCGACGACAACACCCAACCCCGAGGCGTGACCAGACGGGTCCCCGCTGATCTCCGGCCCGCCTCCAGAAGCCCCGGGAGTGGCCGAAGGCCAGCCCGAGGTCTCCGTGGCCACATCATAGGTGGTGGTCGACTCTCCACTCATTCCCGACGGGGTGGAGCCCTCCGTGGGCCCTTCCTGGAAGGTGGAGGGGCTGCCGCTCACTCCCAGGCCTGAGGCTCCCTCCAGGTCAGCTTCGGGGAAGGCAGAGGTGGTTTCCCCCAGATCAGGGGTCCCTGAAGCCACCCCGCTGGCCTCAGGAGCGGCAGACACCCCCACCCCAGCCTCAGGAGAGGCAGACGTTTCGCTGCTGGATTCTGGGACCGATGACGCCTCGACCCCAGACCCGGGGAAGCTTGGCGTGGCTCCACTGAGGTCCCCCGATGTAGAGGCTTCTCCGCTGGACTCAAAAACCTGGGGGGTGTGTGTCAAAGGGGGTCTCTGGCCGAGTTCCTGGGAAACAGTTGGTTCTGTGACACCCTCCACGAATTCGGAAGTGATTAGAGTGACGTCGGGCAGTCCCGAGGCCTCCCCGCTGGTGCCCATGGCTGCAGAAGACGCCCCACTGGCATCCGTGGAGCCGTAAAAGTCCCCGCTGAAATACGGGGTGCTCGAAGGCTCGCCGCTGGGCTCCCCCAGCCCGGACTGCAGCCCGCTGAGGTCCGACAGTCCAGAATGGTCTCCGGACACATCCGGCGCTCCGGAATGGGCGCCGCTGAGTTCTAGAATGCCCGAGGGCCCCTCCCCTGCTTCTTGGGCCGTTGGAGGCTGGGTTACAGATTCCACCAAAGTCCTGTCGACGAGCGAGACGGTGGGGAAGCCCCGTGGAAGTCCACTGCCGTCGTAGGCTCCGGAGGGCAGGCCGCTCCCCACCTCGGCGCCGGAGGCCTCCCCGCTGACCTCGGCGTCTCCGCTGGGCAGGCCGCTGAATTCTGGAGGCTGCGACGGAAACCCGCTGGAGGCAATGGCCCCGGACGACTGTCCGCTCACGTCCACCATCCCTGAGGTGCCCGAGAGATCCGTCTCCCCAGAAGGGAGGCCGCTGAGTTCCACGGATCCCAAGCCTTCTTCTTCTCTAAACGGAGTTGGGGTCACCTCCACGAAGGTGCTGTCCACGAACGTAACGCCGGAAGCGTCGCCGCTGCCGCTCGTGGCGCCAGAAACCAGGTCGGGGATCCCCGAGGGGGCCCCGCTGAACCCGGGCCACCCCGAGGCCTGCCCACTGAGGTCAGGGACCCCAGACGTTTCTCCACTCGCGTCGGTCATGCCAAACGGGCGGCCACTGCCAAGGTCTCCAGAAGCTTCTCTGCTGACACCTGGCTGTCCGGAGGACTGTCCACTGAGCTCGGCCATTCCAGACGTCTCCTCCGGAAACCCCGACGGCTGCCCACTGAGCTCAAAGAGCCCGGATGTCCCCCCGCCGAGGTCAGGGAATCCTGACGGCTGCCCGCTGACACCAAAGAATCCAGATGTTTCCCCACTGATGTCGGGGGATCCAGATGGCTGGCCACTGAGTTCAGCTCCCGAAGGGAACCCGCTCGCGCCCCCGCTCACGTCCGACTCGCCGAAGGGCAGCCCGGATACCTCGCCAGCACCGCTCACGCCGACAGTGCCCCGCCCCTCCAGCTCGCTCGCCGTGGCAGCTGTGACCACTTCCACCAGCGTGGTATCCACCAGGGAGACCGTCGGGAGCCCCGAGGGAAGCCCGCTGAAGTCCGGCGAGCCGGAGGATGGGCCGCTGCCGAGGTCCGTGCCAGAATACTCACCGCTGAATCCGGAGGGAAGGCCACTGGCTTCCGGAACTTGCCCGCTTCCGAGAGTTCCAGAAGGTATCCCGCCCAGGCCCGAGTCTCCAGAAGCTGACCCGATCAAGTCTTCTTTTCCAGAAGGCAACCCGCTGAGATCCTTGGGTCCAGAACCAGAGGTCTCTAGACCCTCTCCTCCAGAAGGAAGTCCACCGAGGTCCTCTACTCCAGAGGCAGAAGTTTCTGGAAGACCCTCTTCTCCAGAAGGAAGTCCACCGAGGTCCTCTACTCCAGAGGCAGAAGTTTCTGGAAGACCCTCTCCTCCAGAAGGAAGTCCACCGAGGTCCTCTACTCCAGAGGCAGAAGTTTCTGGAAGACCCTCTCCTCCAGAAGGAAGTCCACCGAGGTCCTCTACTCCAGAGGCAGAAGATTCTGGAAGACACTCTCCTCCAGAAGGAAGTCCACCGAGGTCCTCTACTCCAGAGGCAGAAGTTTCTGGAAGACCCTCTCCTCCAGAAGGTAGTCCACCAAGGTCCTCTACTCCAGAGGCAGAAGTTTCTGGAAGACCCTCTCCTCCAGAAGGAAGTCCACCGAGGTCTTCTACTCCAGAGGTAGACGTCTCCAGATGAGTCTCACCTCCAGAAGGAAGTCCACCCAGGTCCTCTACTCCAGAGGCAGAACCTTCTGGATGAGTCTCACCGCCAGAAGGAAGTCCACTCAGGTCTACTCCAGAGGCAGAACCTTCTGGATGAGTCTCACCGCCAGAAGGAAGTCCACTCAGGTCTACTCCAGAGGTAGAACTTTCTGGATGAGTCTCACCTCCAGAAGGAAGTCCACCCAGGTCTACTCCAGAGGTAGACGTCTCCAGATGACTCTCACCTCCAGAAGGAAGTCCACTGAGGTCCTCTATTCCAGAGGCAGAACTTTCTGGATGACTCTCGCCTCCAGAAGGAAGTCCACCGAGGTCTACTCCAGAGGTAGATGTCTCTAGATGACTCTCATCTCCACTAGGAAGTCCACCCAGGTCCTCTACTCCAGAGGCAGAACCTTCTGGATGAGTCTCACCTCCAGAAGGAAGTCCACCCAGGTCCTCTACCCCGGAGGCAGAGCCTTCTAGACCCTCACCCCCAGAAGGCAGCCCCCCAACGTGAGAGGTGTTGGACCATGTAATTCTATCTTCCTCCCCCGAGGCCAGTCCACTTCCCACAGGCAGGCCTGAGCCCGCTGCTGAGGTGACACCACTGGAGTCAAGGTCTTCCGAGGGCTGCCCACTGGCGTCCGGGTGTCCTGAAGCTTCTCCACTGGCTGAGAAGTCACCACTGACTTCCGGTGCCCCGGATGCCTCCCCGGAGCCTGGCAGCTCCATCCCACTGGGCACTGGGGGTGAAGGTGTGAACAGCGGCTCCTGGGAGGGGGCTGGCTCCTCTGAGGGGGATGGCTCCTTCGAGGGGGATGGCTCTTCTGAGGGGGATGGCTCCTCCGAGGCCAAGGGCACTTCTGTGGCAGAAGGGCCTTCTGTGCTCTCCTCTGTGGCTGTGCTAGTGGGAGGCCATGTAGGAGGGACCCCTGGAGGACGAGAGGAAGAAAGACAAGGTGGGGATTTAGTAACTCTGCCCATTTTAAGCTCATGCAGAGAAGCCCAATTCCATTCCCTTCACAGTAACATTTTTCTTTGCCCTGGCTGGTTTGGCTCAGTGGGTAGAGGGTCGGCCTGCAGACTGAAGGGTCCCGGGTTTGATTCCGGTCAAGGGCACATGCCCGAGTTGCGGGCTTGATCCCCAGTGTGGGGCATGCAGGAGGCAGCCGACCCGTGATTCTCTCTCATCATTGATATTTCCATCTCTCTCTCCCCCTCTCCCTTCCTCTCTGAAATCAATAAAAATATTAAAAAAAAAATTTTTTTTCTTTCAAGAGCTCAGAGATGTGTTCAGACATTTTCTAATGGAACCTTGCACAGTGTCTCTGGAAAGAAAGGAGAAAGGGAGGGAAAGAGGGAGACCAAGAAACTCCCCAGCACCCTCAGGCTGTGCTTTGCGGGATTTTAGGGGGTGCCATCCACACAACCCACTGGGTGTGGGGGCCTGGCTTTGTGAGATTTGCAGCGGTTCTCAACCTGTGGGTTGCGAACCATGAAAATACACCCTGCATATCAGATATTTACGTGACGATTCATCACAGTAGCAGCATTACAGGTATGAAGTAGCAACGAAAATAATGTTATGGTTGGGGGTCACCACAACATGAGGAACTGTATTAAAGGGTCGCAGCATTAGGAAGGTTGAGAACCTTCCTAACTTAGGGGGTGCCATCCACACAACCCACTATGTGTGGGGGCCTGGCTTTCCCGGAGGGCTATCAAGGTCGCCCTTCAAGTACTTGCACATCCGCATCTCATCGTATCTAAACCCATGGTTCTCCAAGTGCGGTCCCTGGACCAGAAGCACCAGAGTCACCGGACAGCTTGGTAGAAAAGCCAATTCTCAGACCCCACCCCAGCCCCACGGAATCAGACTCGGGGGCGGGCCCAGCACCCCCACGATGCTGCTGCTCGATGGGGTGTGAGAATCATTCCTCTGAACCCAGCCCCCCGAGGCCGGGAAGGCCACACAGACCTGGCAGCGGCAAGGTGCCCGCGGGGGTGTAGGCCCGTTCCCATTCCGTGTGGTTTTCTGGCTCCACGGTGAAGTCGGGGACCGCAGTGGTCTCCTCCCCCGAGGGGACAGCAGCCACGCCAGGTCCCACTTGGGGGGTGATCCAGTCCTCCACGTCTGAGGGGGGTGTGGGCGTGCCACCCCGGTCTTCTCCGGGAGAGGGCGCAGCCGAGACACCTAGAAGAGATGTGGTGGTGAGGGTTCCTTCTCACCAGTGCCCCACCCCAGCTGGCCCTTCTCGAGGGCAACCAGGGGAGTCTGAGGGGAGCCAGGCCTGTGCACGCGCCTTTTTGGGCCTCGACACCCCCATCTCCATCTAGCAATCCAGAGAGATCAGTTTAAAAAAACACATATTTTCTATGATTTCAGAGAGGAAAGGAGAGGGAGAGAGAGATAGGAACATCCATGATGAGAGAGAATCATTGATTGGCTGCTTCCTGCACAATCCAGGATCGAGCCTGCAACCCGGGCATGTGCCGTGACCAGGAATTGAACCGTGACCTCCTGGTTCATAGGTCAATGTTCAACCAATGAGCCCCTGTGGCCGGGCCAGAGAGATCAGTTTTGACCTCCTCAATTAATAAGAGCCGTTTTGCAGCAACTACACTCTCAATATGCACATACCACTGGCACTTTATTTCAGGGTGGTATGGGGTATCTCTCCTACAGAATTTATTATACACTAGAGGCCTGGTGCACGAATTCGTGCACTGGTGGAGTCCAGTGGGCATGCCCTGATTGGGCCAATTGGGCTAGGCTGGCCAGGGGGAGGGGCCCTGGGCAGTTGGTGGGCCAGCCCCGCCCCTTGAATTCCTGGTTGATGGGATAATTTGCATATTACCCTTTTATTATATAGGATGCCAGGCATGGTTTAAAGGTGTTATGCATACCAGAGCATTTTATCCCGTAATCACCAAAAGAGATACTATATGTCACTTACGGATGAGGAAACTAAGACACAGAATTAAGTGACTTGCTCAGAGTCAATGGCTTTTTTTTTTTTTTTTTTAATATATTTTATTGACTTTTTACAGAGAGGAAGGGAGAGGGATAGAGAGTTAGAAACATCGATGAGAGAGAAACATCGATCAGCTGCTTCCTGCACACCCCCTACTGGGGATGTGCCCGCAACCAAGGTACATGCCCTTGACTGGAATCGAACCTGGGACCCTTCAGTCCACAGGCCGACACTCTATCCACTGAGCCAAACCAGTCAGGGCGTCAATGGCTTTTAAGTGGCGTAAGTTTGAACCCAACTGTATATCTGGCAGCATGCCCTCAGTGTCATGAGTCAATTAAAAGCATGAATTGCTGCCCGGCTGGTGTGGCTCAGTGGTTGAGTGTTCACCTATGAACCAGGAGGTCACGGTTCGATTCCCGGTCAGGGCACATGCCTGGGTTGTGGGCTCGATCCCCAGTAGGGGGCGTGCAGGAGGCAGCCGATCAATGATTCTCTCTCATCATTGATGTTTCTAGCTCTCTCTCCCTCTCCCTCTCTGAAATCAATGAAAACATATTAAAAAAAAATGAGTTGTTGATATTTAGTCAATAGAATAATTTGACTAAACTCATCATGAATATACTTTCAAGCAGGAGAGAATTTGATTTGTGTACAAATTATTTATGACAGCAAAGCTACCATTTATTGAGCATGTACTACATCCCAGGCACTCTGTCAAGTGTTTTCTGTGCACTATCTCAGTTAATCCTCAGCCATATCATGATTTTATAGATGTAGCAGAGAAACCGAGAAGTTAAGTGACTTGCCCAGAGTCACACAGCTACTAAGCAGCAGAACCGTAACTAAAATTCAGGTCTGGCCAGAACAGGTTTGGCTCAGTGGATAGAGCGTCGGCCTGCGGGCTCAAGGGTCCCGGGTTCGATTCTGGTCAGGGGCATGTCCTTGATTGCAGGCACATCCCCAGTGGGGGGCGTGCAGGAGGCAGCTGATCAATGTTTCTCTCTCATTGATGTTTCCGGCTCTCTATCCCTCTGTCTTCCTCTCTGTAAAAAATCAATAAAATATATTAAAAACAAATAAAATTCAGGCCTGCCCTGCCTGAATTCAGAGCCCAGGTTCTTACTGACTTCTCTCTCCTTATCTCTGGGAAACCTTAGAGCAAGCATGTCAAACTTGCGGCCCTTGGGCCACATGCGGCCGACAACAAATATTTTTGTGGCCCAGCCAATAGGACGGTATATAAGAAACGTTTTAATACAAGTTTTGTAACTTAATTTTTACAATATCCCGTTACACGTAATTTTTTTTTTAATTTTTTAAAAAATATATTTCTTTATTGATTTTAGAGAGGAAGGGAGAAGGAGAGAGATAGAAACATCAATGATGAGAGAGAATCATTGACTGGCTGCCTCCTGCACACCCCACACTGGGGATGGAGCCCGCAACCCAGGCATGTGCCCTTGGCCGGAATCGAACCTGGGACCCTTTAGTCCACAGGCCGATGCTCTATCCACTGAGCCAAGCCGGCCAGGGCCCGTTATACGTAATTATTAATAATGAACTACAACGTTCGCTAACGAGTGATTACTATCATCGTGTTGCATTCATTTCCCTTACATGCCTTACACGCAGGCGCACCATTTCTCTCCACTAATACCAGCAGTGAATATTTTAGCAGCCGATGGCCACGTCATTAGTCTTGTACTGATTTGTTTGGTGTGCGCAACAGGAAATATTTTGCTTTCGGAGGAAAATATAAATAGGTTTATTTGCGTTACACTTATTCATCTGTGCAGTTATTCAGTGTCTGGTACGTTAACGTTCAAGAAAAAATATTAATTTTTATTAAAATGTTCTATTATTTTATGTTAACGATGACTCGTTTGTTTCAGCCCTTTGTATTCAGCATGTCTCTATCGAAATAAACCTACGTTGCTATGAAAATGGAAGCTTTTGCTGTTTTGTGGCCCATGTACACGTAAACCGTGTTTATCTGGCCCGTGTGAGCCTGTGAGTTTGACATGCTTGCCTTAGCTCAGTGGTTCTCAACCTTCCTAATGCCCCGACCCTTTCATACAGTTCCTCATGTTGTGGTGACCCCTAATTTCATTGTTACAAATTGAACATAATTAAAGCATAGTGATGAATCACAAAAACAATATGTAATTACATTATGTTTTCCCGATGGTCTTAGGCGACCCCGGTGAAAGGGTCGTTCGACCCCCAGGTTGAGAACCGCTGCAGGATGCATTTGCCTTGGGGTCAAAGCCCAAGGTCATGCTAGCTCCACAGCTGCCCCTCCCCCAGACAGACTGCCGTTTTCTTGTTTAGATGGACAGGGGGAGTGGACAGGGGCCAGGAGGGCTCAGCCCCAGGGCGTCACCCCCCCAGGCAGAAGTGGGGGCTGGAGGAGCAGGGAGAACACCTACCGCGGAAGCAGAAGGCATGGTGCCGGGACAGTGGGTCCAGGAGGCCTGTCTGGTTGGGGTAGAGGTAGACGGTCCTCACGCCTGGCTTGTCCCCGCCACAGGCCGGCCGAGGGGTGACGATGGGGTAGCGGAGGCTGCTGTCGGCCAGCCAGCCGGCGTAGCACTTGTCCAGGCCGAGGCTCCAGGCAGCGTAGAGCTGGCCGGTGGAGGCGAGCGTGGCGTTGTGGGATTCACAGAACGCCAGGGCTTCCTGGAAGGTGAACTGCTCGGGGCGCGTGACGAAGAACACCTCCCCTGGGGGCAGAGGCAGGGGGCCAGGGTGACCCTTCACGCCCACAGCCAGTGCGGGCCCTGCTCACCCACGGGCGGGGCTCCCTCTGCCCGCACCCGCCCCGCAGCAGGGGTGGGACACCTGCCATGGCAGGCACCAGTTAAACACCCTGTCCAGTCCAAATTTTTGACCACTCCCCCCTTAGATCTCCCGGGACACTGGGGAATAGGGTGACCACTGGGGTGTCCTAGGAGTTGGGGACTTTCAGTGCTGAAACCGGCAAAGTTGTAGCCAAACTGGGAAGGGTTGTTCACTTACATTCCCTCCGGGCCTCCTTCCTAGCTTGCTTATGTATGTATGTATGTATTTTTAAAAAATATATCTTTATTGATTTCAGAGAGGAAGAGAGAGGGAGAGAGTTAGTAACATCCATGATGAGAGAATCATGGATCGGCTGCCTCCTGCACGCCCCCGACTGGGGATCAAGCCCACAACCCGGGCATGTGCCCTTGACCGGATCAAACCCGGGACCCTTCAGTCCACACAGGCTGACACTCTATCCACTGAGCAACACCAGCCAGGGCCTTTTTTTGTTGTTATTTTTTTCACTGCAGGACTTCTCAGAGCCTTTGATTTGGTCATGGGCATTGGGACTCTCCAGGAGGCAGATGGTAGGTAGATATTTTAAAAAATGGATTTATTTATCCACAAATTTGGGGGTGGGTGGATGATGGCTTTCCCCCTCCTTTTTTGTGTCTCCCCAACAGCCCCTCTGCCCATCTGGGGCCCAAAATGTGAGAACAAGGCCTGTACCTTCGAGCTTGTCCACGTAGCAGTAGACATCATAGGTTTCTGATGGTGGGCGCACACCGTAGGTCCGGACCCCCGGGCTGCTGTCCTTGTCGCCCACACAAGGGGTCCTTGGGCTCACAATGGGGTATCTGCAAAGGAGGGTGCGAGGGGCAGATGAGGGCCTGTTCAGGGTTGGGGGCTGCTGGGTGAGGCTGGCTGGGGACTTGGGCAGGGAGGGTCTTTGGAGGAATTCAAACCATGAAGAAGCCCCTTATACTAGGTGCAAGGTTTGGGGACCCCTGGGGGATTCCTGGCTTCAGAAGGGAGCCCACTGCATGGAATAGCATTGGGTCAAGCTGGAAGGGACTGGGGGGCTTGAGGATGGGGGAAATAACCTAGGACAGTGGTCGGCAAACTGCAGCTCACGAGCCACATGCGGCTCTTTGGCCCCTTGAGTGTGGCTCTTCCACAAAATACCGACTTCTGCGCATGGGCCACGAAGTTTCAATCACACTGTACATGCATGCCCACACGTGGTATTTTGTGGAAGAGCCACACTGAAGGGGCCAAAGAGCCGCATGTGGGTCGCGAGTCGCAGTTTGCCGACCACTGACCTAGGACTTTAAAAAAATATATTTTTATTGATTTCAGAGAGGAAGGGAGAGGGAGAGAGAGACATAGAAACATCAATGATGAGAGTGAATCACTGACTGGCTGCCTCCTGCACGCCCCCTACTGGGGATCAAGCCCACAACCCAGGCATGTGTCCTGACCAGGAATCGAACCCAGGACCCTTCAGTCCCCAGGCTGATGCTGACCTAGGACTTAACACCACCCTCTCTGAATATGCTTCGATCCTGGGGGGAGTCATTAAGGGAGCAGCCAGGAGTCACTGATTAATTAATTAATTAACCTGCCGTGTAGCAGGTGCCCTCTTTGCCCTGGGTGCAGGGCCAGGCTCTGGCTCCCCTAGCCTGACCTCTCCAGATGGGGTAGGGGCTGGGAGGGGAGCCCGGCCGGGCCTTCACCTGACGGTCTGGTCCTGCAGCCAGCCGGCGTCACACTGCTCGTAGCCTGCTTCGTAGGCGGCCTGGAGCTGCTCGGGCGAGGCGATGACCGCCCCGGTGCGCAGGCAGGCCTGCTGTGCCTCCTCGAAGGTCAGCGAGTAGCGGGCAGAGCCGGGGCGGTAGTGGAACACGACCCCTGGGCGGGGAGGACAGGGAGAGAAGGAGAGACAGAGCGGGCTCAGGGCGTGGACCGGGTGCCACAACGCCGGTGCCCACGGTGCCGGGTTCTCAAGGCTTTGTGGGCGTGGAGGGAACCCTGGCTTCTTGAGGAAGGGCCTCCCTTCACCCCTGCCTTCCTTCCCTCCTTCCGATCCTATTCCCAGGCCATGTGGACAGTGAAATTCAAATTCTATTTTATTTTTATTAAAACATTTTTTTATTGATTTTAGAGAGAGAGGGAAAGGGAGAGAGAGAGAGCGATAGAAACATCAATGATGAGAGAAAATCATTGATCGGCTGCCTCCTGCACGCCCCCTACTGGGGATTGAGTCCGCAACCTGGGCACGTGCCCTTGACTGGAATCGAACCCGGGACCCTTCGGTCCACAGGCCGACGCTCTATCCCCTGAGCCAAACCGGCCAGGGCTGGCCTATTTCTTTATCTGACATATAAGAAGGACCGAATCATAGAGGAGAGGCTTGTCCCAGGTCCCGTTGAAGGTAGACACCCCCAGGCCAAGTCCTTTCCACCTGGCCCCCCTCCAGCCCCCTGAGGAGTGGGCACTTACCTCCTGGCAATCGCGGCTGCCCGGGTACCTGGGTTTCACCCGGGGCTGCGGTCACCTGCACCACCAGGTCCTCGCCGGTGAAGGGGCCCAGGCCAGGTGTGGACGCCCCGGGAAAGGCCCAGGGCCTGGTGGCCTCTCCAGTCCCGTTCTCAGCCTCAGGGAAGGCGGTGGCCTCGATGTCGGGGGCCAAGGTGAGGGGTTCCTCGGGCTCCAGGGCCGTGGGGGAGCCGCCGAAAATGGGCTTCACCGTGAGGATCACGTTGCCGCGGGCTTCGCCCTCCGTCATGTTCCGGGGCAAGGGCAGCTCCACGTCGGGCCAGGTCACCGTCTGCACGGTGATGTCCTCTTCGCCACCCACCCCGAAGAAGTTTTCTGGGATATCGATAAAGTCTTCACCTGGGCACAGGGACAAAGGCAAGCGTTAGCCGCTCATCCTGGGCCTGAGAGGTGGGAGGTGAGCGTCGGCACCACCTCCTTCTCCGCTAGGGAAGGAAAGCACCCACTGTGTGCCTGGCACCTTGCTAGGCCCATTTTGGGGTCCTTGTCTATGTGACTACTCATGACTAGAGGCCCAGTGCACGAATTCGTGCACAGGTAGGGTCCCTCAGCCTGGCCCGCGATCAGGGCCCATGGGGGTCAGTGGGTTGGGGAGGGTGGTGGGAGGTTGACTGTCAGCAGGGGAGGGATCCCAGGAGGGCTCCAGGGCATGTCTGGCCCTCTCACCCAGTCCCGATTGGCAGGATCCCAGCAGCAAGCTACCCTACAGGTTGGAGCATCTGCCCCCTGGTGGTCAGTGCACATCATAGCGACTGGTTGAGCCGTTGACCAAAACACTTAGCTTATTACGCTTTTATTATATAGGATAGGAGACCAACAGTTTCCAGATTGCGCAAGAATGCAAAGCTGTCATAGCACAAGATATTAACCAATCATCTCACAGCTCCAGCATCTCTTCCGGGTCAATGCCAGCCGCCTGCTCACCTACTGGCTGAGTACCTTGCTGACCAGCCAATGGGGACAATGTAAATCTGCTGTAAAGGGAAACTGGGAAATCTCTCGAAAGATGCGGGAGCTCGTGAAACGGATGAAACACGGGAGAACTACTGCTTCTGGCAGATATGAGCCAGCTAATCATTCATGAAGAGACCACCCATGAGGGTGCAGCGACTTCCAAAAGGGTGGTCAGGATATGGAAAGGTCGAGAGAGGCTTTGGGGGAGACCCTAACCATTTTTGCAAAACTAATGCTTTTCATGGAAGATTGGGCTGTGGAAAGCAACACGAAAAGAGCTATGTCACTGTTGTCATAAAATGGTACACCTCTGTATCATTCATTTTTTCTGTCCCTCCAAGAATTAGCGTTTAGTGGTAATTATTACCTAGATTATGTACAATATAAGATAAAAAAATTTTTGTCTAAATTTTCTTTTGAAAAAAAAAAATTTTTTTTTCCCAAAAGATATTTTATTGGTTTTTTTACAGAGAGGAAGGGAGAGGGATAGAGAGCCAGAAACATCGATGAGAGAGAAACATCGATCAGCCGCCTCCTGCACACTCCCTACTGGGGATGTGCTCGCAACCCAGGTACATGCCCTTGACCGGAATCGAACCTGGGACCCTTGAGTCCACAGGCCGGCGCTCTATCCACTGAACCAAACTGGTTAGGGCTTGTCTAAATTTTCAAAATATAGCGCCTGCCAAACTTTCCCCCACTATTTTTTTTTTGACACAATCCATTTATTTTTTCCCTTTTTATTGAATTTATTGGGGGAGATACTGGATCCGCCCCCCTTTTCAGTAACACGTTGACACTCCTTTTAAGTGAACCCCATTGCAAAGGCAGATAACAGTGCCCCCCTGTGGGGACACGGTCTCAATGTCAGGCCCCACCACCTTGCATGTGGTGCCACCATCTCCCCATTAGACGGATGAGAAAACTGAGGCTCAAGGCCTTGGCTTTCCCACAGTTGCACAGTAGCAGGTGGCAGACTCTAAAACCCATGCTTTTAACCCATTCTGGGCTCATGAGACAGGCCGGATACCCCGCAGCCTCCAGCCACTGTACCTTCACTCTCCTAGGAGCCTGTGGAAATGGGCGCTGCTAAACCATGAGGTTCAGGTGCCCAATGACCCCTTGAAGGGGTTAAAAACCAACCCCCCTGTTCCCAGATCTCTTCCTCTGGGCCCCTCTTTTGCTGGCATGACCCCCCCCCCCCCGGCCCTCGGCCCCCAGCCCCCGCCGCACCTGTGTAGCAGATGGCGTCGTAGCGGGATGAGGGGTCGGGGTAGCCCGTCTGGTTGGCGTGCAGGTACACGGTCCTCACGCCCAGGAGGTTGCCGCCACAGTTGGGCCGGGCCTTGGAGATGGGGTAGCGCACGCTGCGGTCGGCCAGCCAGCCGGCGCTGCACATGTCCATGCCGCCCTGCCAGGCCAGGTACAGCTGGCCCGTGGTGGCCAGCCGGGCGCCCAGCCGTCGGCACTCGTTGGCAGCCTCCTGGAAGGTGAACTTCTCTGGAGACGTCGAATAGAAGACCTCGCCTGTGAAGGACACAGCGGCAGGGTGAGGACCTCCCTCCTACCCCTGGCCCGCAGCCTCAAGGAGGTCCAGGTGGTGCCTCCTGGTCTCTAGACCTTTTTTTTTTTTTTTTTTTTTAAAAAAAAATATATATTTTTTGTTGATTCAGAGAGGAAGGGAGAGGGAGAGAGAGATAGAAACATCAATGATGAGAGAGAATCATGGATCGGCTGCCTCCTGCATGCCCCACATTGGGGATGGAGCCCACAACCTGGACATGTGCCTGACTGGGAATCGAACCGTGATCTCCTGGTTCATAGGTGGACGCTCAACCACTGAGCCACGCCGGACAGTGGTGGCTGGTCAGAGCAGCGAGGGGCCTGGCTGGGAGGGGAAGTCCCAGGTGAGGGATCAGCGACAACCACTCTTTGGCTCAGGGGTGGCACCAGTTTGCAGGAGCCTGGGGTGACTGAGGCCTGGAGTCCCCCTGCTCCCCTCCCCCTTCCTCTATTCCCCATGGCAGAGGGGGTCAAGTGAGGGGTGCCCTGGGTGAGATCCCGAGTGTCAGCAGGGTGAAGGGGGGACAGGAAGGGGGCCCCTGGGGAGGGGGCAGGCGGCCTCACCCTCCATCTCCTCGGCGAAGCAGTACACGTCATACGTCTCGTTGGTGTCGCGGATGCCATAGGTTCTCACGCCGGGAAACTCGTCCTTGTCCCCGTAGCAGCCTTCCCGGGGAACGTGGATGGGGTACCTGCCAGGAGCCCAAAGTGGGGTGATTCACTAGGGGACAGAGGGGGGCTGTGCCCTTGTAGGCTCCTCCCGTGAGGGAGGGAGTGGTGACTCATTGAGGCGTGTGCCCGTGTCCGCCCTGGATGCGTGGACTATTTGTTTTTATAGGTTTTTGGTCCGCTTTACCGAACTGTGTATTTTCATAGCTATTGGTGATTAGATTCGGCCCCTTTACTGAATACTTATGGACACCAAACACATTCTATCAGGGGCCTGCAAACCTTTTCTGTAAAAGGCCAGAGAGCAACTATTTTAAATTAAAAAAAAAAAGTTTTTATTTCATTTTATTATTTTTTAAAAATATATTTTTATTGATTTCAGAGAGGAAGGGAGAGGGAGAGGGAGATAGAAACATCAATGATGAGAGAGAATCATTGATTGGCGGCCTCCTGCACGCCCCACACTGGGGATCGAGCCTGCAACCCGGGGCACGTGCCCTTGACCGGAATCAAACCCGGGACCCGTCAGTCCGCAGGCTGACGCTCTAGCCACTGAGCCAAAGCAGCCAGGGCATAAAAAAATACTTTGATTTTGGAGAGAGAGGAAGGGAGAGGGGCAGAAACATCGACTGGTTGCCTCCTGCACGCCCCCTACTGGGGATCAAGCCAGCAACCTGGGCATGTGTCCTGACCAGCAATTCTAGCCGGTGACCTCTCTGTTCATGGGTCAGTGCTCCATACTGAGCCACACCAGCTGGGCCAAACAGTTTAAGTTTTGGGGACGACGACGATGTGCATGTCATTTGCCTGGAGAGAATGCTGCTATAGGACAGAGCTGCTTGCAGCCACTCCCTCCGTGCAGGACACAATAACGAAGACCCGGGGCTGATCATCGGCTGCTTGCTGTAGAGCTGGCCAAGGCACCCCCACTCCCTCGGCTGGTCATGGTGTTGCACCGGCACCAGCTCGGGGCTGGCCACTGTTCCAGCCCATCGTCCACCCCACTCCGCCGGCGGCCGGGGGCCCACCTGACAGTCTGGTCGGCCAGCCAGCCAGCGTCGCACTGGTGGAAGCCGTCCTCGTAGGCGGCCTGCAGCTGCTCGGGCGTGGCGATGATGGCGCTGTTCTGCAGGCAGGCCCGCTGCGCCCTGTCGAAGTCCAGGGTGTAGCGCGTGGAGATGGCTCTGTAATGGAACACGATGCCTGCGGGACAGACGGGGGCCGGAGAGCAGGTCAGGCACAGCTTCCCGGAACCGAAGCCCTCACCGGACGACAGCCGTGGTCACAGGGGCCTCACAGTCAGCTGGTCGAGCCTCTAGCTCAGTGGTCGGCAAACTGCGGCTCGCGAGCCACGTGCGGCTCTTTGGCCCCTGGAGTGTGGCTCTTCCACAAAATACCACGTGCGGGCGCGCACGTACAGTGCGATTGAAACTTCGTGGCCCGTGCGCAGAAGTCGGTATTTTGTGGAAGAGTCACACTCAAGGGGCCAAAGAGCCGCATGTGGCTCGCGAGCCGCAGTTTGCCGGCCGCTGCTCTAGCTGATGCGTGACTCCCCTTTCCACATGTGGTCTTTCTGCTTCTGCTGGGATGCCCCCAGCCACGGGGAACTCACTACCTCACACCTATGAACACCTACGATAATTCTGATCATCAGAAAGTTTTTTGTTTAAAATTTTTATTTTATTCTTTAAAAGTATTTTTTATGTAACTAATTTCTGAGGGAAAATACCTTTTTTCCTTTCCTCCCATAACAAAATACAGAGCTATCAGATACCCCTTGAAAAACATGCATAATATACGTATATTTCCATAGCATTATATCATATAGATGATACATATGCAAAAATGTGAAGACTTTATAGAAAGGGGATCATCTAAAAGGCAATGCACAGTGGAGTTAAGATTACTTACATTTTATGGACACATACACACTTTAGTCTGCTTAAGCTGACTAGTGAAGTCATCTAGAAAGTTCTTTACGTGAAACTATAAAAGCTGTCTCCTTATATCCCCCACCCCCTCGCCCCACATTAGCTTTGGGGAAAAGACCCTTAGGGCCCAGGTACCCTCAGCCCAGCAGGATCCTGGTGGGAACCCTGTGTGTGACACCCCCCCAGGAGTGGACTGTCTTTGACTGGGCCTCCCAACAGGAAAAATCTGGTGCCAATCAAAGCCAACCAAGGACACGACCATGCTTCCTGGGCCACGGAGAGACAGGGCACCCGGGCGTCTTCAACCCTTTCTTTGGCTTCTAGGACTGAGAGTGGGGGTCTGGGTGGGGAGGTGGGGGAGGAAAAAAGACAGCTGGATGAAGAGCCAGGAGTCTGCTCCGGCTCACGTCCAGGGAGACATGAGGCAAGTCTTTCAACCTCAGTTAGCCTGTCTGTACAATGGGTACGCTCCCACGGCCCACGGAATCGCAGGATCGCGGCAAAGCACCACTTCCATGAGATGGTAGCCAGGAAGTAGCGACTCCCCTCCAAGTCCAGTTGACTGAGGTGCAAACGGGCCGGGGGAGGAGCTGGGGTTTGAGAGCCAGCCTGTCTGGGTCCACACGGGGAGGACAGTATTTGGTTCTTTTTGCAGGTGAACTAGGATCCCTGAGGAGGGGGAGAGGGGGGGCTCCCACCTTTCACCACGACCTCCACGGTGGCCTCGCTGTCCTCGATGCCATGCATGACCTCACAGCGGTAGATCCCGGAGTCATTGGAGCGCAGGTTCTGAATTTCCAAGGTGGCGTCGCTGGGAATGGCCGGGTAGTTGGGCAGCGAGACCTTGTCCTGGTAGGCGCCGTTGACCCGCACCTGCCCGTCCGTGGCCACCAGCAGCACCATCTCCTTCTCCTTGGAGATGCGGCTCCATTTGATTCTCGGGGTGAGGGGAGCGGTGGCGGGGGCGGTGGTCACGGGGTGCATGGGGTCGATGAAGTAGCAGGGGATGGTGAGGGAGGTCCCCAGGAGGACCCGCAGAGGGGACGGCTCAGGGATGCTGACACTCAGTGAGTTGTCAGGGTCTGTGGGGGAGACAGACTGGTTAGCGCCCTGAGAGGTCCACCCAGCTTTCCCTGGCAGAACCCAGTGAGCCCGTGTGTCCGTGTTGGGGACACACCTGTGCCATATGGAATTCCCAGAAAACCTTGCAACACCCCTCCCAGAGCAGCATTCCTCAAGACCCCTGGTGTCTGCACCTCAGGACAGGAACTATGGAGCCAGAAAAGGGGTTGCTGAGGAGGGCACGGGGGGACTTCAGGGTCAAGACCACGTCTCTGGCCCTGGCCGGTTTGGCTCAGTGGACAGAGCGTCGGACTGTGGACCAAAGGGTCCCAGGTTCGATTCCGGTCAAGGGCACGTGCCCGGGTTGCGGGCTTGATCCCCAGTGTGGGGCGTGCAGGAGGCAGCTGATCAATGATTCTCTCTCATCATTGATGTTTCTATCTCTCTCCCCTTCTCCCTTCCTCTCTGAAATCAACAAAAATATCTTAAAAAAAAAAAAAAAAGGACCACCTCTCTGTTTCTCAAACTAAGGTGCCTTAGGGGATGCCAAGCCACCGGATAAACAGGAACCAACTTCCTGAGTGACAGCTTGACTCCAAGACTTGGGGAAAAGTTATCTGGGGGTAGAAACATCGTTATGGGGAAGAAAAAAAAATCCACAAAACTTCAGAATGTGCCTCCCAGGATGAGGCCAGCCTTGGGCTTTATCCCGGCTTTGCCGGCGGACAAGTCAATTCTCTTCTGCTGTTGGGGAGGCACCAGAGAAGATCAGACATTTAGGTCTGCAAAGAGGCAGGCGGGGGTAGGGGTGCGATATGACCGAACTCCATAAAAAAATCATAGAGCCCTGGACAGTGGGGCTCAGACAGTTGAGCGCCATCTCATGTACTGAGAGGTCGCCGGTTCGATTCCCAGGCAGGGTACAGGCCCGGGTTTCGGGCTCCATCCCCAGTAACGGGCGTGCAGGAGGCAGCGGATTCTCTCTCTCTCATCTTTCTCTCTCTCTCTCTCTCTGCCCAAAATCAAAAAAAACATATTTAAAAAAAATCATAGAGAGATTTCATAGGGAAGCTGCTGTGGTTCACCCAATCCCGTTAGAAGTAAAGGTCACCCTGGAACAGGACAGAAAACAGCTTTCGGAAAAAACGGCCCCTTTCATGCCGAATCGGAGCTGCAGGGGAGCTTTTCCCCGGGACAGGCTGCAGGTTGGACATAAACATGCTTCAGATGCTTGTGGGTGACAGGCACATGCCAGGGCCAGGAACGGGGCAGCCAGGAATGTCCGGGGTCCAGCCCTAACCTTTGCATGTCCTGGGGAGTCACCACCAGGCCCCTCCGCACAAAACTCCCTTTGAATGCTCCACAGCACAGCGTGGTTTGAGAGGCGAAAGGCTGGGGGGGCGGAGGGGGGAGGGAGAGTGGTGCCAGCACTGCACTTTTTAAAGCTTTCAACCGCCCCCGGGCAACGGGCGTGTGTCTGTGTGGGCAACCCCCCGCCCCACTCCTGCGGGTTCCAGCCAGGGGCTGCGTACCCGTGGGTCTCAGGGTAAGAGGACACGGGGAGACCCTCGGTCTAAATATTTAAGAGTTACAAATCAAGCGGGCAGGCCGCTCAATAGAACACTACGTTCTAGCTTCCTGTGGGGCAGGGACACCTTTCCCAACGAAAGCCGGGTTCCACTGCAGACTTCTTGGATCCCTCAGCGTGTGGCATCGGTATGGGGGCCCCTCCTTTTCCCACCGCTGCTTTGCACGGCGAGGGGACCGCGTTCTTCCCAGCCTCACACCCCAGCTCTGTCTACACCCCACGCATCAGCCACCCCTTAACCTCTCCCTCGAGCCTTGGGGTGGCTCCCTCACACCAGGGGCGTGATCCCCGACAGAGGAGAGACCCAAGTGGTCCCGGAAGTGGCGTGGGTCCACGTGGGCAGGGAATTCTGGGCATCCTGGTACCGAGGGCGTGGCCTACAGGGGGGCATCAATCTGGATGACCATGTGTCGATGGCCGGACAGACTCCTCATCCTTTAGGGAGCACTGGGGCTGGGGCAGGGTCATGGTCATGGGAAGGGGTCACGGGGAGGAGCTCTAAAGTGCATGGCCCAGGCCCTGGCCGGTGTGGCTCAGTGGATAGAGCGTCGGCCTGCAGACCGCAGGGTCCCGGGTTTGATTCCGGTCAAGGGCACCTACCTCGGTGGCAGGCTCCTCCCCGGCCCGGGGCCCTGGTCGGGGCTCGTGCAGGAGGCAACCCATCAATGTGTTTCTCTCACATCGATGTTTCGCTCTGTCTTTCCGTCTCTCTCCCACTCTCTCTAAAACAGTGGTTCTCAACCTTCCTAATGCCGCGACCCTTTCATACAGCTCCTCATGCTGTGGTGACCCCCAACCATAAAATTATTTTCGTGGCTACTGCATAACTGTCATGTTGCTACTGTGATGAATCGTCATGTAAATATCTGATATGCAGGATTGTCTTAGGCGACCCCTGTGAAAGGGTCGTTCGACCACCAAAGGGGTCGCGACCCACAGGTTGAGAACCGCTGCTCTAAAACATCAAGGTGAGGATTCACAACAACAAAATGAATAAAAAATGAAGTGCATGGGCCAGAGCAGAGGCCAGAGCAGCGGCCTCTCTGCCAGGGTCTACGCGAGATCCGTCTCACTTTGGGGCGAGCCGGTTCCAGGGTCAGTGGACACTTTGTTGACGTGGCTCAGGGCTTGATGATCAGAAACCGACCAGGCGCCTGCCACACGCAAGGGACCAGGCGGGGGTGGGGGAGGAGGGGTTTCCCAAGACAGACGAAGACCTGTGTGATCACCCGGGGCTTCTCCCTGACTGTTTCTCAGGCAGTTTCTCTCTGCTGCTCCAGCTGGCCCTTCCCTGGCAGCCTTTTCTCTTTGGGTTCATCTATGTCTGGCCCCGATCCCAGGTTCAGTGTGCAAACCGTTCTAGGTGAGACCCCTGGAGGGGGTCCTGGGAAGGTGGGCACCTGCCTAGCCGCCCCTCCCCGCCTGCTCCCCCATCAGCTGTCCATCCCAGAGGGCACCTGGACGCATGCGTGTGCTCACACGTACAGATGCTCTGTCACCGCGGTTAGGCTCAATTTCCACAGGAAAGGGGACGGGCCGGGGAAAAGGCCAGGACGCGGGAGGTTCTATCCCCGGGACCAGCAGCACCGGGTTCAGGACCCAGAGCCCAGGCTCCGGTCCCGCTGGATGCATGAGACCGGCGTGGGAATGTTCTCACCTGAGACTTCTATGGAGACGGTGGCGGCGATGACCCGCAGAGTCACAAACACGAGGAGTAAAGTGGTCATAGTTCACCTGGAAGAGGGGAGGCGGAAGTGTTATTTGGGGGGTTCAGACGCAGGGAGGCCGAGGAGGGTCCCTTGACAAACGACCCAGGATGATAAACTTCACATGTGCCTGAGGCTGCTTGCCGGTCACTCCCTTGCATGGACCTGCATTGATTGCACCTGCCCCGCCCTCCTCTCCAGTCCGTGGACGGTTGGTCTTGGTTTAAGACGTGTTTGCATCACATGCCCTGGCTGGTGTTGCTCAGTGGGTAGAGCGTCGGCCTGTGGACTGAAGGGTCACCGGGATCGATTCCAGTCAAGGGCACATGCCCTGGTTGTGGGCTCGATCCCTGGTAGGCGGCGTACAGGAGGCAGCTGATCAGTGATTCTCTCCCATCATTGATGTTTCTCTCTCTCCCTCTCTCTTCCTCTCTAAAATCAATAAAAATATATTTTAAAAAAAGACATGTTTGCATCACAGATAATCCACAAGGAAGAGGGAGATGGTGGGTCTGCAACGAAAGACAAGGATGGAGTAAACACTCAGCTGAGCCTGTGGCACCCTGCACCCCCCACCCCCTTGCTTCCCCGTAAGAATCTAATGGCCCAGCAGGTGTCGCTGTTGGCTCAGCCACTATCCGCTGGGGCTGAGTGGATTCTCATCCAGCTGGGGGTTCCCCCATCCCAGGAATATATGGGGAGCAGTGGGCGGAGCCCAGGACTCTGAGGGACCCTCTTGACCTGTCTGACCTGTTTTTTTTTTTTTTTAGTTTTTCAAAATATATTTTTATTGGTTTCAGAGGAAGGGAGAGGAAGGTAGAGGTAGAAAACATCAATGATGAGAGAGAATCGGCTACTGGGGATCGAGGCTGCAACCAAGGTACATGCCACTGGCTGGAATAGAATCCGGAACCCTTCAGTCTGCGGGTTGACGCTCTATCCACTGAGCTAAACCAGTTAGGACTTAAAAAAATTATTTATTGATTTCACAGAGGAAGGGAGAGGGAGAGAGAGACAGAAACATCCACGATGAGAGAGAATCATTGATTTGTTGTTTTCTGCACGTCCCCTACTGGGGATCGAGCCTGCAACCTGGGCATGTGCCCTGACTGGGAATCGAACTGTGACCTTCTGGTTCTTAGGTCCACGCTAACCACTGAGCCACCAGCCAGGCGGGTCTGTCATTTCAGTGATCTTCCCTTCATGCTCTGGGTTCTACGGGGCCTGGGGGGGGGGGGGGGGGGGGGCACTGAGGTGAATGTGGGAGGTGTGTCTCCCTCACACGGCAGGAAGTCTGGAAAACCCCCAAGGCCTAAGAAACAGCCCCTCACCTCTCCTGGGGACTTTATCCCTTAGATCAGCGGTTCTCAACCTGTGGGTCGCGACCCCTTTGGCGGTCGAAGGATCTTTTCACAGGGGTCGCCTAAGACCATCCTGCATATCAGATATTTACAGGACGATTCATCACAGTCGCAACATGACAGTTGTAGCCACGAAAATAATTTTATGGTTGGGTCACCACATGAGGAGCTGTATTTAAAGGGCCAGAAGGTTGAGAACCGCTGCCTTAGATGCTGCCCTCAAAAAGAAACCAAAAACACACACAAAAAAACCTGGGGCTCCAGGTTCTGGCTCCGTGAGGGGTTCCAGTGGTCTCTCCTCCAGGCCCAGTGGGACCAGTCACGGCTGGGAAATAGCCCCCCGGGGGCTCCAA